GGCCGGGCGGATGAGGGTATGGTGATGGTGACGGTGGCGGTGCTCCTGAGGATGGCGGGGGTGGGGGAGGAGGCGGGGCAGCGACACTGACAGCTGGCGCTGGGGCCATGGTGGCATGCATGTGCTGGTATGGACTCACGCTGACGGCCGCTGGTGGTGGGCCAAGCGGGAGCGGGAATTGCGGGGGCGGGACGGCTGGGAATGAGGGTACGTCAGGTGGCATCTCCCTGACCGTCACGAGAGGCATGGGCGCCACCACCCGACACTTGCCCGTGTACGAGTAAGGGTGCCTCACGGTGTGCCGCCCTCCCCTCCTCGGCGGTGTCCTTGTGCCGCTGCTAGTCGTGCTGGTGGGGCCCTCCCCGCCCTCCTGCTGCTGGACGCGTGTGGGCGACGCTGCTTGCTCCGCCGGCACACTCCGGCTGCGGAAGTGAAAATAAGGCTCCTGGAAGCCGTAGCCCGACACGCCGATGTAGTGGTCCTGCTGCTGATGGTCAGGCCGCTCCTCGGGGCCGCCCTGAGAGGGCGACGGCGCGCTCATGGGCGAAGTGCCTGCCGCCTGGGGGTACCCGGGGAAGAAGTTGGGCGTCACCGAACCAGCGGGCGATGGGCCGCCACCGACAGGCGAGGGCATCTGGGGCAGAGTGGTGGGGCCGATGCCGAGGAGGGGCGTGACGGACGGGTGTAGGGGGAGGCTGTAGGCGAGCGAGAGCTGTGGGCTGTTCTCGATGTCGGCTGGGCTGACGAGTGTGGGTGATGAGGCAGCGATTGAGAGGGAGAGGAGGTGGGGGTCCAGCTGCGGCTTGGGAATGTCAGCCAGCGACTGGGGGTCGCGCAGCTCATGCTCACTGTGAGCGAAGTGGCAGTAGTACCTGAAAGGAAGGCACAAAAGAGACAGAAAGGGGAAAAAGTGAGTGATCGATGCAGTGCAGTCTCTCTTCCGTCTGCCTGCGCTGCACACATACCTCGGACAGTGGCCATAGTGCGTGTGATCGGGACACTGCAGCACCACCCAACAGCACACACAACACAGAACACAGAACAGAGAGAGAGAGAGAGAGAGAGAGAAGCAGTCCACCGAAGCCATGCACGTAAATCGATCATCCCCCCCCTCCCACCACTCCCCGTGTGTGTATTGTCTGTCAACCTGCCTGTCAGTCAGTCCGTACCAGGAGCGTCTTGTAGAAGAGTGGGTGGAAGATGAGCTCCTCATACGAGTGTGCGAAGGGGCACCCATCCGACCTCGTGCACGTCGTCTCCACCAGCTTGCCGCCCTCGATCCGGATGAATGGACAATACAAAGCCACATACCGAAAACTCGGCCCCGGTCCGGTGGCACCGCCACCGCCAGGTGACGGCCTGCCGCCCCTGCCCCCACCCTCACCAGGGCCAGCTGTTCCCTTGAGGTCAAGGAGAGGCGGCCGCCTGAGCCAGTCGGCGTTGTGGCTGTACTGGCACTTGGAGCCAAATTGACATTTCCCCGACTGCCAGTGGCCGTCGCGGTAGCGGGCCAGACGCTCGCACGGCCGCGTCCGGAAGACGTTGAGTTTGTTGTCTTGGAGGAACGGCTGCAGCGCCATGGCAAAGAGATGCTCACTCACTCACAGCCAAACGATCTGCACACACAACACACACACACAGAAGCAAGGCGAGGCACGAGAGGCGTCAGAACAGCAGCAGGTGTGACTCATATCATTTGGGCTGGCTGGTGTGACTCACCTTTTTCCTTTGTGGTCTTCGGGCTGACGTGTATTGCTGCTGCTGTTGCTGCTTTGCCATCGTCGAGTCAATCAGTCACTAAAGGGCCGTCGTCGATAGATCATATGGCGGATGGAAGGCGCAGATCAACCCATTGATGAGCCAACGGCCATATGTCTGTATCTCTCTCCCGCCCTGGGTTGTCTACCTTTGATGATACGCGCGAATCTGCGCGCGCGCCACAACGGATAAAAGAATCTACAAGGGTTTGGGTTTCAGGGTTCTAACCCTGGCGGGATGAAGCTGCGCAGCGCGGCTTTAACATGCTCCCAGCAGGGGCTCGATCAGTAGATGTTTGAACTTGGGCTCAGTCGGCCAAAGCCGCCTGTCAGTGAGCCTCCGCAGAGGAACCTCAGGCGGCGGCTGGACATCCCTCATGCTTCGACGGAGGTGTGCACGACGGGAGGGAAACAACAGACAGATCTGTGACCCAGACTCGGTGTTCGTGATGGCTGCGATGCGTATGGCCGCACAGGAGCGTGAGGCCACCGGGGCTGTGGCGGCTGCGAGGCGTCGGCTGGACGATGTAGGACAGCGCATGGACACACTCAATGCGCGGGTAAGGAAGGGTGCGGACACCTTCATTCACTTGGCTGGCATGGGTCGAATTGCATGACTCATTCACTCGGCGCGTTGGATGCAGGCCAAGGAGGTGTTTGCCCTGAAGTGTTCCAAGGAGGCGTCGGGGCTGGAAGAAACCGTTGCCGAGGTGAGAGGGAGGATACGATGAGGCAGGCAGGCTCAGCTGCTTGCAATGAGTCGTTGCCGTGTACTGCGCTGTGCTTTTCTCAGCGTGTGTCAGTCCACTACAAGTGTTGCCTGAAGCTGCTGAAGGCCGCGTCGGTGATGAGCCAAGGCCTTGAGCCGCAGAAACAGCTCATCCAGCGGGCCCACACCAAGTGTGACTTCATCGCCGAGACGCTCAACCTGCCGGTAAGTGGGGCGCAAACAAAGGCAGGCAGCAAGAAAGACAGGCACTCTACAGCCGCCCGCGCAATGCTGGCTGGTTGGCCCTTGCAACTTCAGGTTGTGACGCCTGCGCTCCTGTGCGACCTTCCCGAGCCACTATGGTATCGATTTCTCAGCCCCCTTCTGGGTAAGCAAAGCAGCCAGCCCACGGCGATTGGCCAAAGCGCACGGCAAAACAGGCAGCAAGTTTGCTGTGTGTTGGTTGGGTCGGTTTGGCTGCAGGTACGCAGTCCGTTCTAGTGGATCTGGCTCGTGCGCACCCCTCCCTCCACTCGCTGTCCCGCCGGCAGCCCATGCACCGCACCGTCGTCATCAGATCCCGCTCCTGCGTCAGGATGACTTGGGAGCAGAGCCGTGAGTGGTTGCACCTGTTCAGTCGGACTGAAGCGATGGTCATTCGCGCAGCCCCGACAGTGCAGCTGGTGATGCTGGTCGAGCGCGCAGCTGCGACCCTCAAGTCCCTCGAGGCTTGCTGCCGGGGCCAAAGAGGAGATGCCATCCGGTTGCCATACCCTAGGGACTTCTTCAGGCTCACCAAGGTGCGTGCCCGAGTGCGGGAGTCAGACAGAACTGTCTGCTGGTGTCTGACTCCATTCCTGCTGCCCTGCCCCTTCTCTGGTGTGCAGGTGAAAGTCAGTGGCGGGTGGGTGTCAATAGCACATCATCGCAACTGGACGACGAGGTAACCCACACATCTCACACGCATCCCATGTGCGTCTGTCTGCTCTGCTGAGTCCGGCTGCTCTTGGTGTCTGTCTGTCTGTCTGTCTGTCCACAGGCCTCTTGAGGAGCTGGACGTCGAAGTGGGCAGTTACTCCGTACCCAATATGCAGGCACATTTCGACATGGATGGGGCCAGCTGACAGCGCGGGCCCCATCGCCCTCACAGCCAGAGGGATGGAGCTCCGCGACCTGCAGCCTGTGGTGCAGAACAGAACGACGCTCAAGCGGCTCAAGGGCCCCAAGGTCACCGGCTTGCGCTATTGGGGCGTCTTTCCGGAGACGCAGGCTGCCAGCACGTCGTGCAAGCTGGAGGAGCTCACGGCCGAGATAGACATCAAGGAGGTCACCTTCTGCTGTATTAAGGTGAGTGAGCCTTGCTTCTTGGCGGCACTGCGAAGGCAAAGACAGGCTGTGCGCTTGCTTCTTGGTGCAGGAGTTGCATTCGATTCGGCAGTACTGGCTGGCCCCAGGCGCTCGCGAGGACTACACAACCACCCGCAGCTTCTCATTCCCCATGAGAAAGCTGTTCAATTTCTCCGCCAGCGACCTCTGGGATCGGGCGACCACGGTCAAGCTGCTGGCCTCTCTGGCGACAGAAGCGTCCATTCCGAGCGGCCTCGACCCTTTCCCGTCGCCCACCTACTCCTACTCGTCTGCCCTTACCCTATCCACTGTCGTGTCTGGTCTCACTTTTCCGCGAGTCACACGCCTGAGTGTAGACAGGACTCGTGAGGGCTGGTCTCCCCTGCCGGACGCCCTCTTGGAGTCTTTTCGCGGCTCTCTCTTCCCGCGTGTCACTTGTCTCGATCTGAGCCAGGCGCAGAGGGCAGGGGGCACCATTATGATTGGCCAGGGGGTGGTGCAGGTAGCCTTTAGTCGCTTGCCGAAGCTGCAGACCGTCACCTTCCTCCCAGAGAGGTCTGACGGCGACATGCGCTTCCCTAGCGCCGTGCCACTTTGCCTGCGTGAGTGTGTCAGCGAGCGCCCCTCACTCCATCTGCGAGCGCATTCCTCACAGAGAGAGAGGAGGTCACAGGCCAACGAGTGGTCACTGTGTGTGGGCAGGGGGGACCAGGAAGGAGCAGACGAGATGCAGACAGAGGGCCGGGTGGTCGACAGGATCAGCCAGGTGTCACTGCGGGTAGCTGACGTGCCGTTGGAGCACTACGCAGAGCAGGCCTACGTGCACGAGCTAGCGCCTGTCTGCCTGTCTGCCCTCGATGCGTTTCCCCGTCTGCCTTCACTTGTGCTGGAGTGCAGAGTGGAAGAGCGGCTCGACCACATATACACTGACGATGAGTGTGCCACTGAGCTGAGCGACAGCGACGCATCCATGCCGTCGTGTGCATCCTCCTCTGGTCATCATCCGGATGATCTTGATGATGAGATGGAGGACGCAGGCGACGGCATGCACCCAGATTCAGACGCTGCACGTGCACACATGACCGCATTCATCGAGGAAGAGATAGCCAACCGTCATGTGTGGGCGGCAGAGAGGCAGAGGTTCGACAGGGAGGCGGTTTGGAGAGAGAGACGGCGTGCGAGGCAGGAGAGGGAGATGAGACAGGCACACACATGGGCTGACCCGCCCCCACTCGACCATGTCATCGAGTCTGTCTGGGTGACGTACGGTGAGGAGAGGGGGCAGTTTTACGCCCTCCTGCGCAATAGAGGTTACGAGATGGTTGAGCTGTCGCAGCTAGAGTTCGACTATCGCCTTGAGATCCGCCCCGTTGGTGTGCATGTCCCACCACGGCAGCGGCGGATCACCGATTACTTTCGGCCAGAGTAGAGTTGGGTGTTGTGCTGTGAATACTAGGCCCGGTGATTAGTGCTGCATGCTTTGCAGCTCATTGATGAGGTGCTGTGTGTGTGTGTGATGGTCGACAGACACCTTCTTCCTTGGATTGATCCACACCCGTCGGGTCTTCATCCGTGCCCATCCATCCATCCCATCCGTCCATCAGCACATTGACAGTCATCAATGTACCGGACACGCAAGTGTGGGTGTGTGGAGTCAGTCCATCCACCTCTCTGTCTATGTGTGTCTGTCTGTGTGTCTGTCGCGAATGCGTAGCAAACGTGGCAAAACTGCAGCCGAAACAGTGCATGCATACAGCCACCACCACCACCCCAGCAATCCATCCACCCAGCCAGCCAGCCACCAACCAACCAACCATTGTACACACCACACACGCATGGGGACACAGAGGCGTGCATGGGGATGGATGGGGCAATGAATGGGGCAATCAATCACTGACACACACATGAAGTAGGTGTACACGAATCAATGCATGCATGAAAATACACACGACTGACTGACTCGTGTGGGCATCTATCCATCCATCGTGGGTGGGCATTTCATTCCGCTCATTCTTTCATCACTGAATGAATGCATTCACACGAGAGAGAGAGAGAGAGAGAGACTGAAAAAAAGTGAGCTGACACCACCCCACCGCCCCGCACCCAACCTACTATCCCTCCCTGTAAGCAGCAAGTCAGCCAGCTGGAAAACTCCGCCCCCCCGACCGACCATCCCATCCCCCACCTGGTCACAGCATACACCATCCATTCCACGAGAGACACAGCCGCCCCCACCATGCGACGCGCCGCGCCGCGCCGCGCCCTCAACGGTAGGTCACAAATGCCACTTACTCTGTCGCCCATCCAGCACATCCCCTTCCTGTTAGTTACCAATACACTTCCTTCCGCATAGCTGGGAGCGATGGGTGGGTATGTCGTACACACACGACAGGAGGGCGGGGCGGCTGTGGGTCGGTGGTGGGTGGGTTTGGCTGTCTGTCTGCAATCATTGATTGACTGGTTGGTTAGAGGATGCCGTTAGTCCACCACTGGAACTTGTCGTACTGGACGGACCGCCAGTTGTTGACCGACGTGTCGATCAAGTCCACAATCTTCTCGATGCACTGACCACAGACACACACACAGACACACAGACAGACAGACATCGAGAGCCATTTTACTCCTCCCATTTTGTGCATGTGCTACCTGGTCTTCTGTGAGCGAGAGTAGGAATCTGTCCTTCATGGAGTTGAAGGTCCACTCGGCGCCACCGGCACTCAGACACGGCATGCGAGTCGCTGAACAACACACACACATACATCATACCATGGACACTCGGCTGGCTCGTGGGTGGGTGTCTGTCTGTGTCTTGGTATACCTGAGAGCATCATCTGGACGAGCAGCAGGAGCCGATCTGAGTGCTTGCGGACCTCAAGGAAACCCCTGCGGACACACACGCACCCACGTAAGTAGATAGAAACCAATGTGGTGTGGTCCAATCCATGTGCTCATGTGGTGTGGTGTGGTGTGCTTGTGCTGACCTGATGATGAGTGTCCTGAAGTACTCGTAGTTGTCAGAGCACTCGTTGTCCATCACCTCCAAGTACTCCTGTCAGAACCAACCACCAGACATAACGGACGAACGCATCAGACAGACACGAAATCATTGGTGTGGGTGCGTGATTCCCGTTGCCTCTCCATCCATCCCATCCCTCCGTCTCACTCACTCGTGTGAGCTTGAACGGCGCCCCTTCAAAGTTGACATTGCCAGGAGAGTTGGACAACATGTACCCGAAGTCTATACAGACGCCACACGCACACCAACCAACACAACACAGGCCAGGCAGCTTCCATACTCAGGGTCTTCCTTGTCCTTCTGTCTGTCTGTCTGTCTGTCTGTCTGTCAGTGTGTCAGTGTGTGTCTGTGAGGTCTCTCTGGCTGACCGATGTGAATCAGGTGTCCCTCTGAGTCGAGCAGCAGGTTGGCGTTGTGTCGGTCCTTGACGTTCAGGAAATATGACACCAACGAATACGCCGCGTGACTCTCGATGAAATTCTGATAGACAGACGCAAATACACACAACACACGTACCCAGACACCGACCGAGGTGAGGTGTGCGAAACAACAAACACGTCATCTCATCGCCCGCCCATTGATGGCTGGCTGACACTGACACGCACCTTACCTTCTTGGCCTGGTAGAGGTTGTCACCGAATGCCTTCTCAAACACACGTGCGAGGGAATCCGTCTCGAAACTGTCCCGTCCCCACACAGACATGACATGAACACCATCGTACAGCGGAACTTACTTCGTGAGTGAAGTGCAGGAGATATATGAATCTCCTATCTATCTAGCTATTTCAGTCACCCACTTCTTCTTGAGTGTGTCAACGCTGCTGGTGTCTGCGATGTATTCGATGATGCCGGACGTGGAGCTCGTCGGCAAAATGTCGTATGGCCGCAGCCACAAGGGCAAACGGGCCTGGCATGAACCAACAAGAAACGTCAGTCATTTGAGGGCTCGATTCGCCTCTCCTCTCTGTCCCTGCCGACCGACCGACTTACTTACCTCGTCGAATATGTGTTTGAACTGGCTGATGAGCTGGCAGGCCAGCAGCTCCTGACGCAGATCGTCGCCTCCCTTGACAATGACACCTGAATGAACACAACACACGACACGAACCACCACGCGTCAATCAAAGCAATCGGTCCATCCATCCATCCAGCCATTTTCCCCCTTGTGGCCACCCCGGCTGCCTACTTACTTTGTAGTCTCCATGACTTGAGAGTGCCGTATGGCGAGTTGCGGCGCATACGGGCAACTCGTTCACCCCATGGCTCACCCTGGTGCAGTGCATGCCATCCATCCATCCATCCATCCATAACACACGCATAGCACACAAAATAAATGCCACTACTCAACTCACGTACGTACGTACGTATACAAACAATTTGTGTGCAGTGTGGGGATGTGGTGCGTTGCGTGAGGTGCATCCATCGCATGCATCTGACTGACACACGTACCCACAGCCTCTTCCGCGTCTCTGCCGCATCCTCCTTCCGCTCCACAACCTTCACACCACCCTTATTGCCTGGTGGTCAACCCACCAAACCGACCAACCAACCAAAGAGACACAACACAGCGGTAAGTGACCTTGCCTGCCCTCCATCACTCACTCACCAGTGGCCTCGCCGCTGCTGACGCTGCCCGCCTCCGATGACCCGCCCACAGTGGGGGCATTGGTCGTCGCCGTGTGTGTGGTCCGCGGCGAGCCCCCGTCGTCCTTGCTGCCGTCGGTCGAGGCAGAGGCCGCATGCTGCATGTGGCTGAGGTTGGGACTGCTCAACTGGTTGGGCAGCGGGCTGTGGGGCGAGACAGTGCGGCTCCCACGCACAGTGTCGGGCGACCCACCGGAAGAGAGCTGGGTGTGGGGCGATGTGCTGGGAGAGAGAGCCTCTGCTGGAACAAACGACACGCATGACACGGGAAGCACATGCCGTGAGTGAGGGAGAGAGAGGGGAGGGCACTGTCTGTGTCTGTCAATCAAGGGCCGTCCGTACCAATGGCGTGGGTGAGAGCGGCCTTTGGCGAAGGGGCGTTGGCCTTGCTGGGCTGTTGGTTGGCTTGGTACTGCGAGATGAGTGACCGCCGCAGCTGAGCCATGGCCGCATCGACTGTCGATGACGACACACTGTCCCCGAGAGGCCCAGAGGGGAACAACCCACGACCCTGACAGACACACCAAACCAAACCAAAGCAGGAGGGAGCATCCATCACACCATGCCGTGTGTCCTTCTCTCCCAGACAGACAGACAGACAGGCAGACAGACAGACCAGACCGACCTTGAGCTCTCTGATGAGGCTCTCATAGACATAGAGGTGCCCCCAGTCGCTTCCCCCGTCGTCAGTGTCCTTGACGTCCCCATGAAACCGCACATTCACCCGAGGAGGCCCCTCGTCCCCTCCGCTGGGCGACAAAGGCAGCGCGTCTGCCTCACTGCCCCCCGTGCCGCCCTCGTCGGCCGCGCTGCTCACATTGCCCGTCACGCTGCTGCGGCGCTCAAACATCTTGGAGCCGCCTCTGACCAGCTCCCCGCCCCCTCCTGCAGGATGCGATTCAAAAGGGGGCGCCGCCGCACTCATCTCAGGCGACTCCACTCGATGCGGTGCCGGCTGCTGGGTGCGCTCGTTGGCCGGTGAGAGGGGCGGGTTGGGTGAGGGGGACTGTGTGGGGGCTGGGGTGGGGGGTGGGGGCTCCGTGGACGGCTGGTCGGATGCCTTTCGTGTGCGTGAGGATGGGCTGCTGTCGGGGTCGCTCGCTGGCTCGTCGTGCAGGTGGTGTGGGAGTGAGGTGGTCCGCCGGTTGGCGCTGCTGGTGCACGACAAACGGCGGTTGTCGGGCACAGAACGAATGTCCTGAAGGAAGGAGGAATCAACCAACAAGGAACAAACAGGGCATGCATACCATGACTGGTCGACCATGACACGTTTGTGGCCCTTTGGTGGTGTGGTGTGTTGTGTTCTGACCTCGTCCAGGTCAGCGACTTCGAAGACCAGCAGATAAGGCGCACGCTTCTTGGACGACAGCACGCGGCAATCCTCAGTGTGGATCTTCAGAATCTGCAACGAGTAACAACGCGTAAGTAACTTGCCTTGTCCTATCTTTCCCCGCCCCCTCTCATCCATCGTCACCTGAAGCGAAGTGGACGGCGCACTCTCGTCTCCCTGGTGGTGCTGTGGCTGGGTAATGCTCTGACGGTGGGCATTGGGGTGTGTGTGGTGGGTGTGGGGTGCCGTGACGGACCCCTGGAGGGGCACACTGACGCCCGTGAGCTGGAATGTGCCCTCGGACAGCGCCACGGTGCAGCGCCGCTCGAACAGCCACTCGTTGAGCACATTCAATACCGCCCGCAGGGCAACGTTTCTCACGCTTCGATCGGGCTCCTGCGCCAGCAGCATCGACAGCTGCCAGAGCAGAGCAGAGCAGAGGGAAGAGGGTATTGAACACTAGTTACGGATGGGCGGTTCTGAAGGCACCCACGGCTGACCTCTACGAGAAGTGCAGCGAATGCGATGACAAGGTTGAAGTACTCACAGCGCCGCTGCTTGAGCATGAAGTGCTGGAGGTCAGACTGCAGCACCTGCGGATTCACATCTACAGCACGGACAACCGAGCACAATAGATTACACCACAACACACAAGACACATCAATACTTGCAATGCTGCGCCACCGTCTCTCTCTCTGTCTGTGTCTGTGTCTGTCTGTTGTGTCTTGACTCCCTCACTCACCGTGGAAGAGCCCCAGCGTAGAGCAAGGGTCTCCGAATTTGCTGTAGACGTTGGGGAATTTGAGTTTGGACGCCACGATGTGGATGGTGCCCTTGGCCAGCCGCAGGTCGCTGCTCTCGTTGCTCGTGTGCTCCAACGTCTGCACACAGAGCAGACAAAGAAAGGCAGGGTGCACCGCACCGCATGATATCACACCACAAATAAATCACACACGGTGTTGCGCTCATCGCTGTCGTCCCTTGCTTGCTGGCTTCCAGTGCCACACCACATGACATGAGTGGCCCACCCACCTGTTTGACGACCGACGATGGGATCCGCGACCTTCGCCCAGCCCCCACACTGTCAGCCGAAGGCGACTCAGGCACACCATTGTGGTCATGCTGCAGTGCACACACGTGACAGACAAAGGCAAAAGAAAGACGGACACAATCAATTAAGGTGTGTCTGTCACATTTAGTGGCCGTCTTCTGCTTTTGGACCTTGGAGCGCTTCCCGGCCACCGCTTCGTCTGATGCCGAGTGCGGCGGGTGCTGTGGCGATGGCGGGGGCACCTTGCCGCTCCGCTGGCTGCGATTCAGCTCCATCGAACGCAACAAACGTTTCCGACGGAAGAAGTCCGGACCAGATGAGCGGCTCTGTCGGCACACAAAAGGAGAACAGAAAAGCCTATAGATAAACCTCTCTCCCCTTCCACCCACCCACCCTTGCCTCCCATCCCATTTGTACCCACCGATCTCGGTCCGGCCGTGTTGCCCTCCTCCGGGGCGGCTTTGCTGTTGACGACGGCCATCTCGACCTCCCCCCACATCTTCTTGGCGTCCTCAGCCACCTCGGGCAGCTTGTCCTCTACTGTCGCCTGGAAGTTCCAGTACAGCTTCAGCGCAAAGTGCATCGAACGGGCCGCCTGGTCCAGCAGAAAACGACTCAACGATGTCGTCTTGAAACGCACAAGCGACACTTGGCTGAACAAACAAACCAACAAAACGAACGAACGAAGGCACAGCAAACAACAGACCACCATTGATTTGATTGGTGAGTGACGTGAGGGGAGTGGGTCATGTCATCAATCACTGTCTGTCTGTCTGTGTGTGTGGGTGGGTGGCTGACCATAGCTGCGGCAGATAGAAGTTGATCTCCTCGTCTGCTCGTCTGTAGAGGAGGTTGACGAGGTAGTCCTGGATGCCCTGCTCCTTCTTGTGGAAGAGGTAGTAGACGTGGAAGTACATGTCCTTCTCGAACTCATCACACTTGAACAGACGCATCAAGCTCCCCTCCTTGAACACCTTCTTGCCCCCCGCAGGCTGATGCGGATGCTGCGGATGCTGCTGCTGCTGCCCCTGCCCGCCACTCTCCCGGTCCCGCCCTGGCGGCCCCTTCTCCCTCTCCCTCGCACCCCTGGACGCCTGGGCCATCCTCTGACGCGTGCTTGCGCTTCACAACCACAGTGCTCGTTGGTGTGGATCCTCTGTGAGCGATTCCTCTGAAGGGGCGTCTGTCGGCCCTTGCTACAGCTGTGTCAATGACACCTCCTGTGGGAGATGAAACGCCCAGTGCACTCTCTAAGCAGCCTCTGCTCACCTCTGCCCTTGTCGACCTACTTCAAGCTCGCACTCGCGTTCGATTCGGAAGAAGAGCATTTGCATTTGCCGGCCAAATGGCAGATCAGTAAGGCCTGCAGCCAGGACTGGAGGCGAATTTCATCATTGTTTGTTTGTTGTCATGCATTTTGTCTTGGACAGGCGCGGGGCTGAGGAGCCAGAGCGCATGGTGTCGGTCCGTGGTCTGCCCATCAGCGTGTCGGCCGCTCGGCCCCTCTACGCCTCACTTGAGCTATGGGTCAGTCAGCACACGAGAGGAGAGGAGAGGAGGGGGAGGGAGAGAAGGGCATAGGCATATGAATGGATGGTTGTCCATATATGTTTGCAGGCTCTCGGTCCATCCCATGTACCCCAGGGCCATCGGGAAGCTGAGGCTGAGCCCCTCCCGCTGCCGCCACTGCATTCGCCAATCGCAGGCGGTGGCGGCGGTGGTGATGATGATAAGCCGCGGGAGGCCAAGCGCCTCAAGACAGACACCGACACTACCGCCACTGGCGAAGGTGGGTACAGTACGCCAGCCGGCGGACAGACGGACCACACCGAATTCACTCATTCACTCGTTCACTCGCTGATTTATGCATGCCTCCAGGTCTTGCTGCAGGCCGAGAAGACAGCGTTCACTTCATGACCGCTGAGGAGCTGCTGCAGACACACGTTCAAGCTGCAAAACGTGCCAGACAACGGTGAGAGGAGGAGCAGCGCCGAAAGGTCCGAAGCTCATGTGTGTGACCCCGCGTGCTCATGGCTTCGCAGCCATCAGTCTCGGTTCAACGAGAGCATCAGGCGCAGCCAGGCCCGACTAGACGTAAGTGAGTGAGTTGGTTTGCGTTTTCATTCATCCGCCGCTTGCTATGGCGGTGCAGGCCAGGCAGCCAGGCATAGTCGATTCTCTCTTCCCTGTTGTCGTGCGTGTGTGTGTGTGCACAGGCGTTGCTCGATGTTGGCTTGACTGACTGAGTGGATGGATGGTTGGTTTCTTGACAGGCGGCGAAGGGGCGGATGAGTTGATGCCCTTGCACCCTTTGGCAGCGGCTGACCAGCAGCCGGTTGATGGTATGTACAGTGGTCTGTGTGACAGTGGGGGTGGATCTGGTGGGGATGGATCGATCGTTGATTGGAACGTTTTTCGTCATGCGTTCACTGGTGGGACCACAGTGTGTGCGCGTAACTTGGATTTGCACTAATGACGGCGTGTCAACACAAAGGTGGCGTGCCCGACACGCGCTGAGTGTCGTTGTGAATGCGTTGCTTCAAAAATTACGACACAGGCTAAAGCGTCGACGTAATCGGGCAACACGCACATCGATAAAACACAGACACAGAGAACATGACTTACTTGTACTATTGATTTTGAACTCGCATCGCATCACACTCTGCCGCTGATGAACCATCAATCCATCGTACTCTCCCCCCTCCCTCTATCCCCCATCACAAGACACACAGAACGATCCATCGATCCATCCATCCATCCCTCCATGTGTCGATGCCTCTCTGGCTGCCCTCTTTCTCCCGTAAGCCAGAGAGGCAGCGCACACACGGCACGCAGGTCGTAATGTATGGTCGTAATGTAATGTATGTAATGGCATGCGCCCCTCTCCCCTCCCTCGCGAGCTCTCCCCATCCGCCCATGCGCACACACACATGGAAATAAAGGCAGGCAGGCAGGCACAAAGGCAGGCAGGCAGGCAACGGGCACATGCGAAGTACGGAGGCATGTATTGCATCGGCATCACGATCACACATACATTCGATAAAGAAAATAACGATGTATCAACCACAATCACTCCACAATTGTATGTTTGTATGTTTACAGGCATAAGGCACGTGCACTCGCTGGCTGCCCTGCACTGCACTGCACCGGCTGGCCTCCGCTTGTCTCAGTCGAACGGCTGGATCATGATCTTATCCGTGAACTCCTGCCGACACAGGATGCATAATGTGCCCTTGAAGTCTTCCACACAGCAACCTATCCCCAGAGAGAAGGAAGAGACGACCCAAAAAGAAGAGCATCGGGTGGGCGTGCGTGTACGCTCTTGTTTGTGTGCACATCAATCACATTGATTGCGCCTCGCCTACGTGTGCACATAACGAGATGCTTGCAAGGCAGAAGGAGCACCGACAGCAGCCGCTCGTGGCAAATCTTGCACATCCTGACAGACAGACAGACAGACAGACAGAGAAGAGCGAGCAAGGCATCCATCGATCAGCGCATAATTCATGTGTCAATCAAGCTGAGACTGTGCTGTCTGTCTTCGACAGCCAGCCACTTATCTTATCTCACCGTTTGTCCTTTTCGTCTTCCTTTGCCTGTCGCTCCCTCGCCAGCTCCGCCGACAGTGCGGCCACCTCCCTCTCGAGCTTGCTCACTCTCGAGGCCTCATCCACCACATCTCTGCAACGAATGCATTTCATACACATCACTCACTCACTCTCTCCTCTCCCCTTCCCTTCCCTCCGTCTCGCTCACCCCTCAGGTCCCGACGCCGTTCCGCTAACTCCGTTGCTGTCACGAGTAGGTGCGGGGTAGCTGGGCCGGGGAGGCAGGACGAGAGCAGCAGTGCCATCATTGATCGCATCCGACTCCTCATACTCGAACATCGGAGATAGGGGAGGAGGAGGGGCCACGTCGTCATCGCCGAAGGTCGGAGGGGCAAATGTCGCCAGCCTGCACAACACGCACCGACACCGAGGCACACGGCTCGTGATTCAGGCACCCTCGCCCGTCATTCCCGACCTAACCTTTCCTGTCCGTCCGGTGGGGCCGCACTGTTGGACCCTAGTGCACTGTTTGTTTGACAGTTGACATCCACACGCACACATGGAGAGAGGCGCATGGACGAGTGCAGACGGGCTGTGTGATGCATTGCTTACCGCTCAGCCAGTCTCTCCTCGTCCCTCGAGTGCGTGAACCAACACGTGACGCCGTATTTACATCCCGAGCCTGCAAGGCAAACACACCAAGCCAGTCTGCACCGTGCCACCCAACCAGCATTCCTTCGCTACGCTTCTCTTGTGCCTACCGTCTGGGTAGATGAAGCTGCATGGCCGCAGGCGGGGGCCGATGAGCGGCATGAACATGGGAGGGCGGGCGTGTATCAGCGAGCACCTCCCGCCCTCCACACACGTGCCCTGAAACGTCAAAACAACAGCCAACAATGGCGGGAGTTCAGCCGTACCAACAGAATGGAATGCCCCAGTTGTTGCGTGCGTCAGATGTCCGTTCACCTTGACGAGCCAGCGGTAGCACCGCTGCTCCGCGGGTCCGTGGGCGAAGGTACACGTGTCACCCCCTGGGCAATACCCCTGCAAGTGCACCGAATGAATGCGCACACGAGGAATTGATGGCTTCGTTCTTGGCGTGTTGCCTTGCCGTACGTACCTGCTCGAAATGGTCGCAGGGCTTGAGCTTGTAGAGTATATTCTCGTGGCGTGTGGCTGCATCGTATAAGGCCGTGGCGTTGACGGCGTCTGAGGGCTGGTCCTCATCTTCATTGGCTTGGTTATCTTCCACTGAAGGCTCATCTTCGGCAACCGTGACGGTAGTGGGAGTGGGAGTGCCCTGCATCCCCAACACAGCAATGCGAATGAGAGGGACAGGGAACCACGAACGCAGCACTGCCTGCTTGCATGGGTGCCGGCGGTTTTGCGTCTCAAAATGACCGTATCGTCTGATGAAGCATATCTGAAGCTCCTCATGTCCTTTATCGGGCCGTGGACGAGTGCCTCATCGTGAGCATCTCGGCGGTAGATTTGATACATCCTGCGACAAAGCAGAGGACCAGGAGCCACACGGCGCACACTAGCTGCAGAGCATTCCACCCACGGCCTTCGGCTTGTGCTTACTTTGGGTCAGGATGCTGTGAAGCCGACATGGGCAGCACCGCCATGAGTCTTCGTTTGGTCTCGTTGACAGTCCACAAAGGATCTATCTCTACAGGCACAGGGCCAGCCAGGACTTGCTCATCGTGGCCCTCCAGACGAATGCACACACGCACCGCTTCCATTGGCGACATTCTGAAAGCTCCACTCTGCCTACTTCCTCAGATCAAATCCTATTCCTGCTCACTTTGGAAGCTCGCCGACATTTCAAGCTCGCAAGTGGTTTGGACGGACAATCTTACCCTTAACCACTACCACCAGTTTGAACAAGTGTCTTCACGAATCTTCCGGCGCTGATGACGAGCCTCGAGGAGGGTCTGAAGCGAAAAGAACAGAAATCAGTTCAAAAACAGCCAGATGACTCAGAGCCTGTGGACTTGTCTGAGGCCTTCCCGAAGGGAGCTGGGCTGAAACCAAATGCACATCAGGTAGCGCACCACAGGCAGCCATCGCTTTGCACTTGCATTGCTTGACGTTCTGTTTGTTTCAGGTGGAAGCAGTCCAGCAGGTTTGTGGCCTGGTTCGACATGATGCTTGTCTGACAGCGCCCACCAACTACCTCCTCCAGCACTGCACCGGCAGCGGCAAGAGCCTCACCATAGCGGCACTGGTGCACGCCCTGATCCACCTGCGGGATGATGCCGGGCAGCACTTCGCACTCATACTCATCCTCAATGACAGGTGCGTTCCATGCAGACAGACAGACCAGCCGTGGGCGTTCATTCAGGGTGGGGACGCTTTCACGTCTTTGTGTTTTGCAGGTTGCAGCTGGACGACCAGCTATATCGTGTTGTCCATCGGTACCTCACCAGCAATGGCCTCCCCAGCCGCCAGATCAGGAGGGCAAGGACGTCCGAGGAGCTCCAGCAGCTGCTCTCATCCACCAACACCGCACCAACGTGCAGCCCCGCTCCGTCAGTGGAACCACCCGCCTCTGTAGGATCATCGACGAGCCCCCAGCAGCCTCAAGTGGGCGGCAAGAGGAAAGCGGCCAAGCTGATGCAGCCCTCGCTGGAGAGCTTCTGGAGCAAGGCAAAGGCCAGGAAGACAGAGGAGGCCGCCAACGCAAAGGATGACTCGTCGAATGTTGCAGCTGCCGCGCCTTCGTCGATGGAGGTCGACCCGTCGCCACTTGTTCTATCGTCTGCGTGTGACGCCGCCGTCACACCGTCGCCAGCCGCCTCGCCCACCCACTCGGACGTCGCAGCGGAGCTCACTGACGGCCCCGACCAACCCTCGGCAGATGGTCCCGGTGCGAAGACCAAGCAGTTGGTTGTGTTCTCGACACTGCAGAAGTTTCCGTGCATCAAGAACATGCCCCGCAGTGGCCTCAAGCGGCTGCTCAGCCGAGGCCGGGTCGCCCTCATCGCCGACGAAGCACACAGGTGACAAAAAGGTGATGAAATGTTCACACCCTATATGACGTGTCTGGCTGGCCTTGTGTTCCGTCATTAGGTCCCACGGCAAGGCAACCAGTGTGAAGCTGCATGAGCTCTTGGGCGGCAGGGAGCACCAGCCCCTGGGCGTGACGTATTTTGGCTTCACAGCCACACCATCGCCTGACGCTCTCAAGCTCTTTGGCGTGATCAGCAGGTCGACCAGCCAGACGACCTATGGGCCCGTTCACAGCTACTCCATGGCACGGGTCAGCGCAAAACAGACATTACAGAAACCACCTCTGACGTGTGGTGATGCCTGCGTACCTGTGTGCAGGCGGTGCACGATGGGGTGATCGTCAATGTGCTCAAGGAGTACACCACAGCCAGACCTGTCATCGATGTGGAGAAGAAGACACCAGAGGACAAGGCGCCTGCCCCGTCGCCAGCCAGCACCCCATGGAGTGATGTCATGAAGGCGGCCGTCAAGCACCACGACGTGTGTGTCTACAAAGCCGACTTCGTACTCAAGTGAGAGCACCTGCACCGCCACACGCTCTCAATCGGGTCATTCTTTCTGTTCGTCAGGCATTTCGTGCGGTTTCGCGAGCGCCATTCGGTGACAGATGAGCCCACAGCCAGCTCAGTGGACACTTCATCGTGGGGCAGCTTGGCTCCGAGAGCTGAGCCTATGATCAAGGGCATGGTTGTCTGCCGATCGCGAGAGCACGTGGCCCTCGTCACTCGCGTACTGCAACAAAGGATACAGGGTAAGGCAAGGCAAGGCGATGCAGATGGCGATCGGCAAGAACGCCACTTGTCACTTTCTGCCTGTCCTGTTCAGATGCCCGTGAGGCCATGGCAGAGGATGCGTCGACACTGGTGGTGAGCAACTTGACGGTCTATGGGGCATTCTCGGGGGAGGTGAACCTCACGACCCCATCAGCGGCTGAGGATGGCAGTGCGAGGCTGGTGTGCAAGAGGTGGACCGAAGCGTCCATCAACGGAGGCTTGGCACTCCACAGGGCCGACCTGCTTGTCGTATGCAACAAACTCGAGACAGGCACGTACCTGGATCGGATCCGCGGACGCACGAGAGGGAATCGGTGATTCTCATGCGCATTGTCCCGCTCTCTCTCCCTTTCTGCATCAGGTTATAACGAACCGCGTCTGTGCGTCATGTACGTGGACAAACCGCTCAACGGCGCACGAGCGGTGCAGGTGCTGTCGCGCCTCAATCGTCTGCACCCAAAACTGACCCCCAAACCTACAGAGGTGGTCGACTTCGTCAACACTGCGGAGGGGATACGAGAGGCGTTCCAAGAGGTAAGTACGCACCACCTCACTCCGCCACGTGTCCTCCATGATGCCTCTCCGTTGCTGTGTGACGTCGTGCAGTTTTGGGATGAGACGACGTGGCGTGCGGATCGGCTGTGGGCTGAGGGCAAGCTGGACCTTCGCCTGGAATGCGTCATCTCACGCCTCTTCGAAGCCCTACCCAACCTGGGGTCAGGAATGCACAACACGAGCCTGCTGAATTGAATGCAGCATCTCATTCTTTGCGTTTTGTCTGCCTATTCTTCCTTCCTCACCCTACCTACACTCAGGCAGCTCAAGGCCGGCGAGGCGGCCGCTCACGCGCGGCATCTCGACGGTGACGCACAGCAGGCCCTCGAGAGCGACCTCCAGACCTACCTCAGCACATGTGAAGAGCTGAGGCAGCAGAAGACGGAGCTGCCCTATCGATACGCCCTCATGCTGAGAAACGCCCTCTCGTCCATTCCCCGATCGAGTCGGTCAGGAAGTGGCTCCTCATCGTCCGGTCGGTTGCCCAAGATTCCCTCCATCGACGGCGAGTCAGACGAGCCCAGTGACGAGGAGGAGGGCTTGGCAACATCTGATCGCCTGCTGGCGAAACACGCCTTGTCTGTGAGGGTGAAGGGGCTGAAAAAGACGCACAGTGGCGAGATCAAGGTCCCTTCGAAAATGCAGCGGAGAGGCACTCCACTGGTGCCTCTCGACGCAGGTGAGACAGACGGGAGTCCGCGGAGAGTTGCCTAACCACTGCATTTATTATGCTGCTGTGTTTCAGACAAGGAGGCCAAGGGCGTTCGGGGCGTCAAGGGTGCGTCTGAGGGCATGCAGAGGTGGCTCAGCGGCCAGAGCCTGTCGCTCGGCGACATGGTTGAGCGGCTAGGGGCCACACAGACCGTCGACGTGAGCGAAACTGTCAACAAGAGAAAGGCCGTGATGTCCCATGATCGATTTGTTTCTTTCTCTCTTAGGTGCGATTGCGGTGTCTGAAGGAGCTGCGGTCTCAGCTGGAAGACTCGTCAGGCACCGACAGCAGCCTCATTCTCAACGCCCTTCGCCGTCTCTCCGTTCTTGACATCACCCTATTCTTCCTCAAGGAGAGCCTCATAGGCAGGACCGTCAACGACCTAGCCAAGAGACACACAGACAAAGAGGTACGTACGTCAACAGCAACGAAGAACAGACAACCACAGCCATGTCAATGTTTCCCTTCAGGTGGTGAGTCTCGCCAAGGCCCTGGTGGCCAGGTGGAAGGCTGTTGCTGACAAGAGCTATGCGCTGCCTGCCACGGCCCCAGCTGCCAGCGGCGGCGTGGCATCCATCGGCAAGCAGACGGCAGCCGAGCTGGCCATGAGGCAGAAGGTGGTGGCCAAGGTGGCAGAGACCATGCAGAAGCACCTGCTGAAACCGAAGGCAGGCAGCGAGGACGGCGTGGTCGACGCACACAAGTGAGCATGCCGAAAGAAAGGCACAAAAAGGTGACCGACACACACGAGCACTGGGTGCGATGCTTGTGTCTGCCTTCAGAGCGTCTCTCCACGCCTTGGCTCAGAATGTCGAGACGGCAATCTTATCGGAGCATGGTGGCGTCACGGAGGCCTACAAGCGCTTCTGCCGCTCTCTGTGCTCGAACCTCAAGGACAATCCGAAGCTGACGATCGAGCTGCATGAGGGGCGGTTGCCGCCCAGCCAGCTGGCCAAGATGGACGCCAAGGACATGGCAAGGGACGAGCTCAAGCAGAAGAGAGAGGAAGCCAACCAGAAGGAGCTGAAACGACTCGAAGAGTAAGTCAGTCGTGGAACGCGCAGGAAGGATGGATGCGTGTCTTCATGATTGTTTGCAATGCGTTCTGATTTGTGCAGGTGGGCGACGTCGAGGATGCACGAGGGGAACACGACCAACTACAAGTGCCCGAACTGCTCGTCGAGGAAGTGCCTCATCAACACGGCTGGCCTCAGGGGCGGGTGGATCTCCACAGAGATGGAAGAGACCTCCTGGCTCCTTTGCACCGAGTGCGGCCATCGCTTCTCACTGGCTGATGCATTGCACGTCTCGGAAGACTAGTTCGCAGGCTGAGCAAGGGATCTCTGGGGGGGTGGTGGGGGGAGAGGGGGGAGATATGGAGTGGCTGTGCGGCCCTCACAAACGTGAGTTGGGTTTTTCACCCGCACAGCATCACTCTCTCCTGGTGGTTGTCGGAGTGCGCTGCGAAGCAGCATGGTCAGATGTGGTTCCATGTTTGCCTCTGTCTGGACATCAGGCAGGCAGGCAGGCAGCTGTTTTGTGTGACCATACATACGTATGTATGTGTGTGTGTGTGTGTGTGTCGATGTGAATAGTGGTCGTCGGTTGCGACGTATGTGCAGGCAGAGATCTTGGCAGTGCTGCAAAGCCCAAAAATGGCACTTAGCCGACTTCATCCTGCGGGTCATATTGTGAGTTCAGATACGTACTGTCCATCATACACCCGAGCCGAGCCGAACCGACCCGCCCCTGCTGCTACCCCACAGGCGCATACTGCACTGCACCATCAGTCCCGTGCTCCGTCAACACGAAGCATACTATGACAAATTGCACATGGCACAACAGTACCCACATGCCGCCCACATCCAACAGTGCGAACCGTATGTGGACTCGGTCGATACACCCGAACACCCGCCCCTCCCCCCTCCCTGTCCCCATTCCGCCGGTTGTTTCATGCAGCGGGTGGCGAGGCTGCCCTGCCCGCCAGCCCCAGTGCGGCGCCGAACTCCTTAAGAGTTGGCAGGGGCGTTGTTTCGGTGGCCGCCATGATCGCCCGCCCGTCTGGGTGCTCGGGACATAGTGTGTGCAGGTAGTGGCAGATGTCGACGCGCATCTGCACGTCGTTGATGCCCGCAAAGTTCATCTGAAGCAAGTATGCAGCAGGGAAACCCAACTCGGTGAACGTACAATGCTGCATCCATCGGTCTGATATCGACCTGAACAGGCGACTCAGTGAACGCCTGCACACAGGCCACAGCACGGCAAACAATCGAACACACAGCTCTCTGAACGTCGTCCTCTCTCATTTCACGCACCCGGGGGTTTTTCATGTATCTCATCAGATTGGCGTCCGTCCACACGACACCTGAGTCCTGCAAACAGGCGGCACGCCGCACCATTTTCACTGTAGCCAAAAATGCCTGAGTAGCGAGCGCTCTCTCTCACTTTGAGATATTTGGAGATGTGTGCGTTGCCTGTAATGATCACTGCGCCGGCCGTCCTGTTGCACACCTGCCACATCGTCGGCCCCCACGCAGCGGCGCCCGCAAAAGGCACACGACCATCCTGACACATCAGATAGAGATACGCGCGAACGTCCTCACAAGTGGAGGGCCACACACAGAGTAAGCCATACATACTATCGCCTCGCGCTCACCGGGTAGATGGAATGGCACTGCGCACAATGCTTCTTGAAGGCCTGACGAGCACAAACAAGGACGACTCAAGAGAGTGCTGCAGAGATCACGCAGGAACGAGGGAAGCACTGGTCCCACCCACCCACCTTTGCGCCCCTTTTGGTGGAGCCTTCTGGCAAGGTCCATCCGTCTGGGATGTCGTCTTCATACGCTGCCAGACACACGCGGCACACAGAAATGGGCTGAAATGTGGTTGCAAGCCACAAGCCACGAAAACCGATGTCATTCGATGTCCTGCTTACGACGCGAGAAGCGAAACCCGGCAGACGAGGACATTGGTCCTTTGGAAAATCACAAAGAGCTCGCAAGGTCGACCGGGCCGTTATGTACGCGCGCTGTAGGGCACGGGAGAGTGCAGAGGCGAAGTTTGTTGACTTCCCTCGATGCCGAGGAGGTGCGGACGCGCCAGTGGAGTGAGCCCCACGGCAAGAGGACCAGCCATGTATCGCATTGCTGCCCATCTGTCACCTCGTCTCCCATCGCTGTGAAGAGCACACCGACAAACAATCGGCACACAGAGGGGACGAGAACACACACACGGCTGGCAGACCTGAGAGTTTTTCATTGTCGTTCGATTGACCGGTGGTTTCTCCCCTCCCTCCCCTCCCAGCTCGCCTCCCGCTCGTATGGAAGATTCCAGTCAACGGCCCTCCCGACATGGTGGCGGTGGGAAAGCACCAGAGGAGGGCCGACATGGTGGCGGTGGGGAAGCAGCCGAGGAGGGCCGTTCCCCTTCCTGGTCATGGAAGGCGTTCATGGTGGCGGTGGGGGAATGGAAGGAGTACTTCATCGAGAAGATTAACGACGGTTTCTGCTGGTGGGCCGCATCCGTCTACAGATACCCATGGGTGGTGAGTCAGTCACCGACAAGAGAGAGAGAGAGGGAGAGTGTGGGACGCTGCACGGGGGGCAGCCATTCCATTCTCAATGTGTGTGGGTGTCTGTCAGGTGATAGCAGGCACGCTGCTCGTCATGGGCTGCCTGGGCACAGGTGCGCATCCAAACCCACCAGTCGAGATTCATGCACCCATGTGTCTGTGTTTGTGTGTGTCGATAATCAATCAGGTCTGCTGCCTGGCATCTTGGTAAGGGTTGAGGGGGCTGAGAGGAACTATGCGCTGCCCGACAGTCTGGCCAAGCAGCACCAGGCGATCCACACCTCCCTCTTCGGCGAGCGCAACTACAACCGGGAGTTCGTCATCGTCACCGGCAAGGGCAAGAACAGGGGCAAGAACATCCTCACCTGGAAGAACCTCGAGAAGCTCCAGGAGCTCAACCTCCTCATACGCGGCATCAATGTCGAGCCCAAGACCCGACGACGCATATCCATCCCCGTCGACGAGCCCGACGGCTTCGGGGGTGAGGCCACCAAGCAGTACACCTTCGATGATCAGCTGTGCTTCAAACGGCCGGACGGGACATGCTCGGTCAACTCGATATTGGAGATGGGCGCGCTGGACTTGAAATTGCTGTTAGGGGACCAGACCGACACGCCCGAGATATACGAATTTGAAGAGGGGGTCACGTTCAACCAGCAGCGTCAGTTCTTCCCCATCGAGTACTACCTGGGCGGCGTCAAGAAGGAGACGTGCAGGAGGTCGGTGCCCCCGGAGCTCTTCAAGGACGTACCCGGCATCGTCATTCCCGAGGACCGGGACGACCAAGGCAGAGTCACGCTGAACTTCACATGCGTCAAGGAGGCACAAGGTGGGTGCGTCAATCAACACCATGCCTTATCACATACATCACCGGACAGAGAATCGGCTCCCATTGCATGCAATGTGTCTTGTCTGGGGCTGTGTGTCCGTCCGTCCCGTCCATCAGCCCTGATGTTCAGCTACGATCTCGAGATCGGCACGGACACGGCCCTGGAGCGCACCAATCAGTGGGAGCAGGCCTTCATCGAAGTCATGTCCGACTACACCAACCTCGAGAAGCCCGGCAAGGACTTCCCGGGGCTGGAGGTCTCTTTCATGGCTTTCCGGAGCAGAGGTGGGACGGGACACCGCAGAAGAGCCTCTAGAAGAGAGAAAGGCAGTGTGTGGCTTTGTGTGTGCGTGTGTGCAGACGACGAGCTGGCGCGTGCGACGCGGAGTGCGTCGGACATCATCTTTGTCGTCATCACCTTTTTCGTCCTCATCATATACGCAACCTGGCAAAACTTCTCATGCGACCTCTTCAAATCAAAGTCATCCCCACACACAAACACCTGTGTCGAGACACCGCACCAATGAACGCCTTGCAACTGGCCCCTCGCCTGTCTGGTTTGTCAGGGCGATGCCCGCGTTTGCAGGTTGTTGCTCGGCCCTGCTGGCCGTGTTGGGTGGGATGGGGCTGTGCTCCCACATGGGTGTGGAGTTCGTGCCGACGGCGCTCGTGTCGATCTTCCTCATCATGGGTATCGGTGCGGACGACGTCTTCGTCATCATCAATAGCTACGCCCTGGCCTACATGGTCGAAAGGGCACACGAAAGAATGGCCGTCGCAATGCGCGACTGCGGTGGGTGGGACAGGCAGGGAGGGGAGGCTGGCTGGAGACAGAGGGTCTGTTTGCACCGTGCCGTGTCTTGTGTGCATATAGGGATATCCATCACCATCACGACGGTGACGAATCTGCTGGCGCTGTTTATCGGATCCTTCAGCCCCTACCTCTCCATTCGCAACTTCTGCCTCTACTCATTCTTCGGTTGGCAGAAAGTTGGCCGGCTGGATCGCCATCCATCCCTCTCCTCTCCTCTCCTTGTGTGCACATGACATCCATCAGGGTTGCTTTGCGGGTATGTGTGTGCGTTGACGATCTTCCTGGCCGTGCTGTGTCTCGACGCCAAGCGAGAAGAGGCCCTGCAAGTCTGCCCCTTCTTCCTGCCGAAAAAGACACCGGTAAGGATGCAGCGCACACGCGCTGCTTCTGCACACCTTCACGTGTCTGTGCCGCACATCGATCCATTCAGGTCGATGAGCGCGTCGAGGCGCGTGAGTCGGCTCCAGGCTACCAACCCCCTCTCGACCCCGACCTGTCGACATTCTCACTCGTGTCTTTTAAGGCCAAAGCACTCGCAAAGAGGAAGCAGCTCAGGTAGGATAGGTACCCACACCGACAATCACCAAAAGGCCCAACCTTCTCTCTCCTCCGTCGATGCGATGGCAGGTACACTCACAAGGAGGAGCATCCCGCCCGGCCGTCCAATCCGCCCGTGTCGACCGTTCCTGGCGGCCGCAAGCGTCCACCCACAGCCAACAATCCCATGCCTGGCAGCACCACCAATGGCCGCTCCAGCTCCAGCCGCTCCCAGCAGCAGATGGCCAACGCAGGCACACCCAAGAGCACCGCCACCATGATGACCGTGACGCCCAAGAGCACCAAGAGCAGCGGTTCAGCCGGCTCACGCAACCCACCACTCAGTGAGATACCCGAGGAGGGACCGCACAAGGGCGCACGGGAGGACTCGATGGATCACATACCGCCCGGAATGGACGCAGAACTCTTCGAGGAACCCAAGGGTACACACAGACAGAGGGGCATGGGAGGGGGTGGCATTGCGTTGCGCGACACGTGGTTGTGTTGTGTTGTGGGCGGTGCCTGCCTTTTGTCTGTCTACCTCAGGCAACGTGGGTCGCAAGTGGCGTTTGTTCTTCCTGTACTACTACGGACAGTTCATCACTCACCCGGTGGCCAAGGTGACGATCCTGCTCTTCTTCCTGACGCTCGTGTGCATCGCCATCTACGGCGTGACCAAGCTCGAGAGGGGCCTGGAGCTGAGCCTGCTGTCGCCCGACGACTCCTACCTCAAGCCCTTCGACCAGGACCTCGAGGAGTTCTTCACCACCTACGAGCTGGCGCCCACGGAGGTCTTCTTTGAATCCCGCGAGGACTGGTCCAGACCTGAGACGCAGCGGTCACTCGACCGGCTCCACAATCGACTCTATAGTAAGACTCACGGGGGGGTGGGTGGAACGAACAGGTGTGGGATGTCTGTGTGTGTGATATGTATGGGTGCAGGTGAGGAGCGGACGATACTCGTGTTGAATCCGCTGAAGCGCATCCTCGACGATCCCGACATCGGACCCTCACTCAAGAACCAAAACAACAAAACCGTGAGACAAACACGAGACACAGCCTGTCCAGCCACCACAATGTTCGGGCGTGTGTGGGTTCAGGAGTTCAATCGTAACCTGAAGCGCGTGCTGGAGGCGAAGGACAGCCTGTACAAGATCTTCGAGCATGAGTTTGTGTGGGAGGGGGAGGAGCTCGTCTCGTTTCGCATGTTCGTCATGACCGAATTCCTCCCCAACTCGGAGATACGGGCCAAGTGGATGCAAACCATTCGGTCAGAAGCGAGACAACCGATCTGCTCACAGAAGACATCTGTGTGTGTCTGTGTGTGTGTGTGTGTGTGAGTGTGCAGTGATTACTGCGCGAAGCAGGCGGAGGACAGCGAGGAGCCGCTGACAGCGATTCCTTTCAACGTGTTGATGATATTCTTTGAGGGCGACCTGCAGATCGTCCCCTCACTCATACAGAACCTCACCATCGCTGGATTCGTCATGTTCATGGTAGGTACCACAGCAGAGACGGATGGATGCCACGCGTGGCCGTTGTGATGTTGGGACGTCTGTGTGTGTGTGTCTCTCTCTCTCTCTCTCTGTGTGTGTGTGTCTGTGTGTCTGTGTGTGTGTTGTGTGTGTGTGTGTGTGTGTGTTGTGTGTGTGTGTGTGTGTGTGTGTTGTGTGTGTGTGTTGTGTGTGTGTGTGTGTGTGTTGTGTGTGTGTGTGTGTGTGTAGGTAGCGACAGTGTTGATTCCCAATGTGGCGTCAGCACTGCTGGTGCTGCTGATCATGGGGATGATCGATATCGTAGTCATCGGATTCATGTCCTTCTGGGGACTGCAGGTCAGACAGACAGACAGACAGCCAACCAGTCAGTAAACCAGCGAAGGACGCACAGCACAGCACAGCAAACACACAACGACTCATTCACTCATCGGCATGTCGCCATTGATTGACTGTGTCTGTCTGTCTGCCTGTGTCTCAGCTGAATATGTTGACGATGGTACGCAAACAGCCCACAGCGAGCAAGCGCTTGCACAGAAACAGGTCCGTCCGCATGACATGAAAGTCTCTGTGTGTGTGCTGTGTGTGGTGTGCAGATCAATTTGGTCATGTCTATTGGGTTTTCGGTCGACTATTCCGCGCACATCATTCACACATTCACACACTGTGAAGGCGAAACCAGAAACCTCAGGTAAGAATAAGCAACCAACACGACACGATAGACACGCACACAACTAGCTAACTGATACAGCGAAAAAGTGCCGACCCTTCGCCTGTGCCTCCGTCCGATGCACTGCACTATGCAGGGTGGTCGAGTCTCTTGTGCTGATGGGCAATCCGATCTTCCACGGCGCCGTGTCCACACAGATCGGCATCTTCGGCATGGCCTTCTCGGCGTCATACCTCTTCCGCGTCTTCTTCAAGATGATGACACTCGTGGTGGGCTTCGGCGTCGCGCACGGCATCATCCTTCTGCCCGTTATCCTATCGCTTGTCGGCACCATGGAGAAGCCTCACGGCGAGGGCCACGAGGAGGACCAAGTCACCGTCAACAATGAGAACAGTGACGAGAAGGACCGGGGCGGCAAGAAGGGGCCCAAGACGCCTGCGACCAACAAGAGCCGCTACAGCAACGGCAGCTCCAACAGCACACCCGCCGAGGGCAACACCGGCACCACGCGCATCCCCAACACCCCATCGCTCACACCAGGCAGCGACGGAGGCGGCGGGCCACACAAGTGGAGCACGCCGCCGCCGCCGCCTTCCTCCACCAATGCGTTCGCCCTCACGCCACACGCGCGTCAGATGCCCCTCCATCTGTCCGGCAAGCACGACAAGCATCGCGGGGGCGGTGCCAAGACGGAGAGCAGCTCAGGACACCCCGACGACCTGGAGGCGGCGCACGAGTACTCGATCCTCAAGGACCGTCAGCACGCCCCGCGCGGCTCCTCCCGCACGCACCACATGCACCGCGACAGCTACAGCGGCACTCGCAGTCTCACCGACCACGTCGAGGCCGAGAACCAGCGTGCATTGTCGCAGGCGTCTTCGTCGTATTCTCGCCAGCGCGGCAATCCGCACAAGGTGCAACGGCACAAGAGCGGCAGACACCGCAGCCGCGAGAGGGACGACAAGAACGGCATCCCCGCGTTGCGAGACCTGCTTCCCGAGGATCAGGGCCAGGCACGTCACGAGGGAGATGGCCACGCCCTCCAGCGGTACACACACCGCCGCGAGCGCCGGGAGAAGCGACGCGACCGCGACCGCTCGTCGTCTCGTCAGTCCCGTGAGCGCCGCTCGTCAGGTGAGCGACACGACGACTCGTCGAGGCACGATCGGTCGCGTCGCTCATCGAGACGCGGTGAGCGTGACCGTGAGCGGGGTGGCGGCCGTGATGACGGCGGGGATGACGAGCTGCCCACCGACTTCATCGAGGGGATCGGCAAGGCATTCCGAGCTTCGCTTCCCGAGGTCGGCCTGAGGACATTATCCATATGATAGGGACAGACACAGGCAGGGGTTTACAGGGGGGAGGAGGGAGACAGAGAAGGCAGGGGCATTTCGGTCAGTTGAGAGTGTGTGTATGTGGCTGGATTGAATGGCTGTATGGATAAATAGGTGCGGTGCGGCGTTGTCGGTGTGGACGATTGATTGATGTGTATACGGTTGGTGGTGGTTAGAGTGATGAGTGATGTTGGTTGGTTGTAGTGGTGGTGTTGTAGTCTGTCCATCTGTCCACAGACTGATTGATGTATACCTACACACACACTTAGACTTCTGTCGCTGGCTCGCCTCCCCCGATGTCTGTCTCTCCATCTGTCTTGTCTGCCTGTCTGACTCCTTGTGTCTTTGGACTGTTGGCTGGCTGATCTCATCCACTCACCAATTGAACCACACACATTCATTCATTCATTCAGTCGCACATATCTGTTGTCCTTCCGTCCGCAGATTCCATCTCAACACGCCATGCCCATTACACACACACACACACACACAAAGGAAGGCCAGCTACGGACGTCGGCCGGCCACTTTTGCTCGGCTCGTCTATCTACCGTCTATCTACCGCTGCTAATCAATGGGTCCGTCAGGTGCGGAAAGGAGGAAGGTCGCACTCGCCGAGGAAGAGCACGTTGGCCGCTTCGCTTGTGCCGTACAGCACCTCACAGGTCTTCTTCATCTCCGTGACCTGTGTACACCATGACGCACACGCACACTCATTCCTTCATGCCGCGCGTGGTGTCCGTGTGTCAAGTGGCATCAGCCCACCATCCTCTTGTGTGCGGGGCCGCTCTTGACGAACATGGTGAAGTTGGCCATGGTCGCCAGGTCGTCTTCGTGGGGTCCGCGGATGGCGCGTGACGCCTCGATGGACTGCATGAAGCACCTGGCCACCTCGTCCCACGACAGCAGCCGGCTCAACAGCATCCCACGCAGCTGACAGGGACAACAGGCGGCACGCGCCCTCCACCATCTCACTCATTCATTCGCTCGCTACGACTCACCTTGTGTACTCTGGAGATGAGCAGGGTAGGCACGTTGAGGTCCTCTATCTTGATCTGCAGCTTGTCGCACTCCAGCAGCCCCGTGGTGATCTTGGTGGCCGCGTCTTTCGCCGGCCGCCCCGATGGCTCGATGGAGGTGTTGAACATGGAATCAATCACCTTGAAGCGCTTCTCACCATCCTGCAGCCAAAATAGAAGGAACACAAGTACACAAGGCACTCGAGGTACAGCTGACGCTGACATCATCTTCGTACCTCGAGTGCCTTGTACGTGTCGTTGTCGTACGCAGACGGGATGGACCACTTCTGTGCATCCATCGCGCACACAGAGGGATGGATGAAGGAAGGTTGTTTGCTCACCTACCTTGGCGAAGTCGGCCTCCTTCTTCGGCGGGATCTCGCCGAAACACGGGTAGTAGGCAGTCAGTACCTCTGCTCCTTCAGCGATGGGCCTGGTAGCTCGCACCACCATCCACTCATCAATAGCAACCCTGCATCGCGTCAGAGCAGTGTGTGTCAGGCAGAATGAAGAGAGCGAGTGTTGCGTACCACATGGCGTTCCTGCACGTGCCGTCGTGATTCATCAAGGACGGCAAGACCCAGAGACCACTTTTGTTGTCCCACCCATTCTTGTCGCCCTCTGCGGACGCGGACCGATACAAGACGGCAAATACACTGTGGTACCATCAGCAGAAACCACGAGCTTGCTTGCATGATCACTTACCTGATCGTGGTTTCTTCGGCGTCCGTGCCAGGATGCCGTGGGCATCGTGGATGTTGTTGTCACACTGATATCAACACAAAGAAAGGACTATTACCATTGGCATCGTGTGGTACAGTGTGATGCTGACCGACCAGATTGCGAACTTGGTCTGGGTGGAGTTGGACGAAAGGCGCACCGAACTCCCTCAGGTCGCCCTTGCCGCCTTTGAGCGCACCCATGTAGAGCCGCGGGAGGAATGGAAACGCGGTTGGTCCAAGGCCCATGGTCCTATCAACGCTCTGAAAAACGCATATCGAAAGAGGAAGTGAAATCAATGGGCCAAGGGGCATCTTCTCTTCTCACCGGGGCCTCATACGTGGGCAAATGGTCTGGGCCCTCGGACAGACAGCCCAGTTGCGACACCAGCCGTGGATGCCAGCCGTCAACGGCGAGCTTGACCAACTTCTCGTATGCTCGGTGCTGTGACCCACGTGTCAGCCGATTGCCTTCGATCTCAAAGACCGCGGCACCGGTCTCCAATATGAGCGGCTGCACGTCAAACAGACAAGGCACAGAAGGCCGATGTGTGTCACTCCTCTTCCGGGCATCGGTCAGTGAAGCATCTCACCTTCTGAACGATGAGCAGCTCCCCTGGCTGGATGTTCCGAGTCGCGAAGAGCCCCCTGCCCTTGCCCTCCGCCTGCTTCACGGTGATGGGCCCGGCATACTCGGCCAAATCAAGCGGTGTCGGCGGCTTGCCATCTTGCCTGGCCTTGGCGTTGGCCAGGTGACACGCGTAGATCGATGGCCAGTCAAAGTCGCCCTTGGCCTGCGCCTTGTGGGCCGTCAGACGGTCAGATAAGGCATCTACCTGGCCCTTGATTGGCTCAGTGAGATCCTGGCGGGCTCAACAGACACACAGACGTGATGACATTGTCCATCTGTTGATGGATGTCCGCTGGTGTTTGATACCTGTTGCCCCAGCGTTTCGACGACTACGTCGGCAGCATCAAAAAGCCGCTCTGCGAGTAGGGCCTGGCCCAGCCGGACGAGTACCTATACAGGGGGTAAGCACAGCAGGCAGGGAAAATTGGCAGGAAGCTTGTGGGTTGATTCGGGGTGGGTACGCACCTTCTGCTGGATGGGGGTAAATTCAGCACACGGCTTCAAGCAGCTGATGTGCAGTGCCGCTGCCGCGCAGCACATGGCGTCCGGACCGCCCTCCTTGACCAGCTCTGGCTTCAGCAAACAGGCGGATGCATTGCTCAGGAGAATCTGAAAGGGACACAAGCGTCGTTCGGTGGTGAACACCGTACGTATCCCGCCTCGCCCACCATGAGTGTGTCAAGATCCGCTTCCGCCAGTCCGGCCGTGAAGACGTCCGCGGCCTCGGCGTAATTCTCGTCATCATCTTGCAGCACCTCGCCTGCCTGAAGCGCCTCGCTGATGTCGCGACCCTCCACACCCTCTGGCCCTCTGGCTGTGCACAGATGCGTGACGACATCCGTGACAAATGCCGTCATGGTCTCTCTCGTTGGGATGGGCACTTCAATGCCGCTGTTGCCGTTGCTGCTGGTGGATGTGGATGTGTCGCCCTGCGAGGCTGTCAGCCACTGCATCATCACGCCGTAGATGTCCAGTGCTGCCTGCTGGATGACGTGCACCTTGCTGTCCTTCTCGACGCCTGCATCCAAACACACAAACGAGACGGAAACGCGTTTGTACGGAGGTTGCATGTCCATGCAGTGGATTGCTGTCCTCCCCCACTTACTGGTGGGGTGTGGTAGCAGCCGCAGCACGGTGAAGACGTCCATGAAGGCGCCGAGGTACTCCCCGCATCCGATGCGGCACTTCGCTCGCCTCATCAGCACCTCACAGACGACCTGATGCACGCCCAGTCGAATACCCTGTAGACAAGAATACGGAAGGAACAGCAGTAGCGTCAGTCAGTGCACATGATGGCAGCTGAGCTCAGCTGCATATCTCGTTGTTCCTCTTCCCACCTTCATATAAGCTATGTATGCGTCGAGAAACTCCCTCTTGCCAAAGTGCGAATTGCCCTTGGCCTTCCAGCCCTCAGCTGTGGACGGATCCGCGGCACGCACCTTGTTGGCCTCCGCTTGGAATGACGCGTCGCGAGGGCTCACATCGAGCCTCACCTGGCTCGGATCATCAATACGAACAGCCCGAAAGCCGTCGCCTGCGATCTGTGGATACGGCAAGAGAGGACAGAGATATGACAGAGACGGATACATGAGAAGATCTCGGTGTAGGTTGCGATGACCTTGTAGAATGGGTTTGCGATTGCACACCATGTGTCGGGTTTGATCTTCTCGTCGGCATCCTCCTGGCTGTACATTCCACAGTTGTACATGGCCACCTACAGCGAATGGACCCACCAGTAAATCTCTTTCTCTACCGTGTGCGTCCCATGTCCGTCGTACCAATATGGGTGTGCCCTCTTCATCCTTTCCTATGAACCCCACACAGGTCTGCTTCAGGGGTCGTGTCACGATGTTGACGACCAACACGCGACCAGGGTGGCTCTGCCACAGCAACATCTCTCTCACACGGATGCGCTCCAGACCTGCGTGCGTTACGGGGAAAGAGATTGAGCTTTGTGCTTTGTGTGCGTCTTCGTCTTTCGAATACGCACCAGCGAACGATGTGGCCGAACCGTACGTCACACGGCTCCTCACGGACGCATCGGTCATCCCAAACTCGTGCAAACCCCTGTATTTTCGACGATCAACAAAGCACAATCAAGTATGCATGGCGCCCGGATGTGTACTCACTGCGTCTTGATCATGAACTTCTGCAGCAGGAACGCGTGTTGATGTGCGATAATCTCGTCGGCACTGTGAGTACCCCCTGACATGTGCATCGATACGTGGATCGCCACACAACACGCGCCATGGGAAATGGACAGACATGACACACAACGTTTCATTAATGAAAGAAATGCGTCGGTTCCCTGATGCATGCCATGTGCAATGCCTGCCTGCCTGCCTGTCTGTCTGCCTGTCTGCCTGCGTGTGTGTTCACTTACACTTGCTAAACGAGTTGAGCAAGCCGCCTACGCACGGATGGAAATCAGCGCTCAGTGTGCGCTCCATCGGTGCTGCACTCTTGTTGGCGTACTGTAATGGAGCATCAAATCATCGCGGATCGGCATATCTGTGAGAGACCGTGTGTTTTGCCAGATCTTACATTCATGGCCGCCCGGCACTGCTCCACGGTGATGTTGCCCGGGTCCATTGGCCTGGAAACAAGACAAAGGAGACCAACAAGTAGCGTGGGCGGAGGTGCGGCTTATTCTTTCCTTACCCCGCCCTGCGCGTTGACTTCGAGGTGGCGGCCATTGTCGTTCGCTGTATTATGGAACCTGACAGGACATCCGTGTCACAGGTGCTGGCGGCGGCATCCTTGTGCTACATACTCTTCATCGATTCGACCGCAAGGGCCTGGTTGGCCTCTGGAAGCGCACGCACCTGCAGACAACAGACTGCCAAACACGAGACTGCCTTCGCCTCCCGGCGCACCTCAGCCTCAATGTCCGGCCGCAAGAGGCCAAAGAAAAAAGACCGCTCGGCGGCGCTACGCTGCCCTGCTGCCCGGCCTCGCGTCATCGGGCAGATCTAAGAGTCCACGGACGCAAGATCTATGCCCTGCCCTCAGTGCATCCCGTCGTTTTGTTACACGAAAGATGAGTTGGGGCAGAGATGAGGAAATGGCCCTCCGTCCTTTGGTTGACGCTCACTGTGGCCGTCCGACAAGCCTCTCCTTTCTCTGATTCATCACAAACTGCGTTCTCCCGCTGCCCCGCATCCTTCTCCCGTCCGCTGCCCTTGTTGCTGAGAGGACGGAAAAGTGCAGGACAACATCATTCCTCGCTATACCTGATGACCACAGAAAAGAGTTCGGCTTTTCTGGATGCGGCTGATGAGTCACTGTCAGCAGGGAAGCCGCCAACGAAGGTGTTGATGATTGCCGGCGTGACGGCGGCGGGCAAGACGGACCTCTCCCTTGACCTCGCTGAAGCCCTCGACGGCGAGCTCATCTCTCTCGACTCAGTGCAAATCTACAAGGGTGCCGACATCGGCTCGGGCAAGATCCATCCCTCGCAGCGGCGCGGCCTCCCACACCATCTCATCGACACCTTCGAGCCGTCGGAGCGCAACGTGACGGCCTTTGATGTGTGTGAGATGGTCAGGAAGGAGGTGTTGCCCGGTGTGTTGGCTCGGGGCAAGACGCCCATCTTCGTCGGGGGAACTGGGCTGTACACACGCATGCTGCTATGGGGACCGTCGGAGGCTCCTGGACCCGACATGGCGCTGCGGTCCCAACTGGAGGATGAGGCGGACGAGGAGGGCACGACCGCCATGTGGGACAGACTGAATGCTATCGACCCCCTCTATGCCGCCAAACTGAGCGTCAACGACCGCAAGAGAATACTGCGGGGACTGGAGATATGTCTGTCGTCCAACAAGCGCGTCAGCGACTTCCCTTTCGGGGCAACGGATACCCTGATTGAGGAGTCAAGGGATGATGCGCCACCACCACTGGCCGATGAGGAGTGGCGTCGCGGCTTCCTAGTCGATCAAGGCACGTGGGACGTCAGGGGCTGGTTCCTCGTGCGGCCGCGGGACGTATTGCGCACGCGCATCGCCGCCCGCCTCGACGGCATGCTCGCCGACGGCCTGGTCGATGAAGTGAAGCAGCTCAAGAACAGCGGCCTGGAAGACAACATATCGCTATCCAAGGCCGTCGGCTACAGGCAAGTGCTCGCCGCTTTGGCAGAGTGCAAGAGTCCAGACGGTGTGCTGAACGGCGAAGAGCTGACGGCCCTGCGAGAGCGCATCGTCACTGACACGTATCGCTTCGCCAAGCGTCAGCTGACGTGGTTCCGCAGCAAGGATGAGGCGTGCTTCCGCTGGATTGACATGGACAAGATGGGCGAGCAGGGGGCACTTGGCGTGATAGTGGCCGATTTTCGGAAGGCCAGGGGGGAGCGAGAGACAGGAGATAGTTACCATGCGTCGCGCTTTGACTACATTTGATGATCATGTTTCACCCAGTCTGCGGACTGAATGGACGGGGAGTTTCAATTGGTGAGTGAGTGGTGAGTGAGTGAGGTTAGCCAAAGTTCCAAGGACACAAGCAGTCACACAGACAGACCCCACATATAGAAGACAACACATTCATCCATCATGGTGCACACAACAGATCACGCAGAAATCATCCATGCACATGTGGATCCACAAATAGGGGATGCATGAATCATCGATGGAATCGTTTTTCAAAGGCCAGACCAACAAATGTACGAAATGATTTGCCTCTCCAGAATCGTTTGCTGAGGAGAGGGAATAGCGTGGGGGCGGGCAACGAATCAAACGCTATCGCTAAACAAGTCGCTGAATCGCTGAATGCGATGTGGCAAACTCTGGTGGTCACCGTTGCGGTTCTGTGCCTTTCGCTCGGCGGAGGACAAGAGCATGACCTCAGGTGGACACAACAGCCAAGCCGGGGTTATGGAAATAGATCATGTCCTGGTTCTGCGACTGTGTCTGCTGTCTCCTCAGTCTTCACGAGAAGGGTCGTCGCAACGCCATGATCAGGGTACACAAACGGCGCGATGAATGCTTGCTGCCATTGGTTTGCTGTTGATGTCTGTCGTCAGAGGCGTCACCTACAGATGGACGAGAGTGCCATCGGCGAGATTCACATAAAGAGCGAATACAAGATTGATGGCAACGCCGTCTCCGAAGATGAAAAGTCACTCATCGCAGGTACAGAGCGAGCCCAGGAAAGCATCGGGCCAGAAAGCCGCTCACACGGTCGTCACTAGGCTGTTCCGCATTCTGTAGGTGCCCCCTTTTCTGTGTCAATCGAGAACAAGGACACAGGCACCTACAACTGGACAACGACAATGGCCCTCACCTTCGCTGACGCGTCCAAGACGTCCGTAGGCATGCATTTAGGCCCGCAGAATAGTGGTTGCTGTAATGCGAGGCTCTTTGGTCATCCATGCACGCAGTTGCGAGCAGGGGGCTTTGTCGCTCACGCCAGCAGAGGGCAGCTCAACCGACCGGAGGCCCGCTCTTATCGCCTATGATGCGCCATGGGCAAAGGGCAACAAACGACTGCCTCCCGCACTGAGCGAGATGAAGGGATACGAAGGCAAGATAAAGGGGGCCTCCTCAATTTTCGGTCAGCCATGATGACAGGGCGGTAGATGCAACAGACGTTCTGATGTCGGTCCCCCTTACATGCGTGCAGGATACGCCACTTGTACCATCGATGGCGATTATTGCGTGCTCGGACAGGCGACTGAAGTCGCTGGCAGCGCCCCTACAGAAGATTTCAGCACCGTCCACGAAGTATGTCTTTCTCACATAGCAAGTGAGATAGATGCACTTAAAAAGCGTATGTCCTCTGTTGTCTGAACTCTTTTCTTGTCTCCTTCGCAGATGGCGATCCCTTTCCCCGGCTTTTACAAGCTGTGCATGTGTCTCGGGAACTCGTGTGGCCAAATAAGGGAAAACTACAATGTTGATTTGGGCAAGACTGTACAAGTAGCCGGCTTCCGGAGAAGTCCATCCTTCGATGTGGTGTACTGTGCGGCGCACTACAAGTGCCGGTTGTCATTCGACATCACCACATCGGCTGCTGGCAATAGCGTGCTGACCGATGTCACCACATGTATGTCGAAATGAATCGATCGGCTGCAAATCACTTTTGCATTCGCGGAGTGTGTGTATGTAGTTCATAATACGGCCAATGGTGGAGTGAGCAGAGGGGACGATACTACGCATGTCGACCAGGTGCAGGCCATAGAGCTTCCACGTCTCTTTCAGTGAATGTCTCACCTGGCACGTATTTCGGTCGTCTACAGCTGTACATCTCTGACGCAGCGGATCCCGACTACTGCAGTATCAGGTCCTCGCTAATCGAATTGCCAACAGCGGGGGATTACTTTCGCGGTATGTCAAGCAAACAGGCGGGTGCTGCACCTGCATTCGTCTGTGATTCACAGCTCAGGCCAGCGCAGACATGACTGGCGACAAGGTCACATGGACCTTTACAACGGGCGATCTTGCAGCCACTGACAACATCTTGGAACAGCCAGTGGAGATCGATGCCACGTAAGGGTGGCAATTGAGCGTTGTGCATGCAATTCATCTGTCCCCTGAATTATCTGTGCGTGTCGTAGGTCTGTATCAGTGTCTCCCCTGGCGGGTCACTTTCTGTGTTGGCTTCCGTACGCCACATATCCGATAGGCATCATTGCAGATGTCAAGTCCCCGCCTGACGGCCTCTTCAAGTTTCCCGCGGCGATGCTCGCCATTGCCGGTGAGTGAGTGTGTGCACCACAGCCGCACTGGTCTGTGTGTATCTTTTGTCCTTGTATCTCGTCAAGGCCCGAAGGTTCCGAACAGCAAGATGGATCAGACAGTGACCGTCGGCACAGCCCTGAAGATCCCGACGACTTACGATAGTCGTGACTTCGTTTTATATCAGCAAGGCGATCAGCTGCTTCTCGTTAGAAAGACGGACGAAAACAGTGAGTGTGGGCCGAGCAACAATGGGGGCGTGATAACATTCAGGACCACAAGCATCTGGAGTGGCGACCCGCCAGGACCTGCGGTACGTGTGTGCTATCTAGCAGCTTCATCCATACTCACCCCGCTCTCGGTCGCTTCCTTCAGTTGCCTCTGCTGACGAGTGAAAATCCGACGGAACCCGAGTGGCACGTTAAGATCCCTGCCGGCAATTTTGGCCTGCAGGGGGAGTACCTTCTCTGCTGGTGCCCCGGGGCAGACATTTCTGGTGCCATGTGCGACGAAACAAGCGAGCAGCCGAAAGATTACCTCTATGAGGCAGGTGCGCCGCTTCCATGTGCAGCACGCACCATTTCGATTGGTGATGTATTGTGGCTTGCATGCATATACATCCTTCAGGCACTCTGCTGGTCCCCGGTCCTAGGATCGCCACTGGAGGCGTTGTGTGCTACCCGGGGTCCCGGTGCAGCATCACTATCGACGCGGCCGACTTCCCTGGCCATACAGACGAGTCTGTCAGAGGGAAGGTCATCAGTGTGGTGAGGCGGAACATTTGGGAGTACGACGGTGATGCGTCAAAAATCGTTTACCACGAGCTGAATTGCGGCGCGTCAGACACACAGTAAGTGAAACCGTGAGAGAATGGCGCCGATCGTCGTACAGTGACTATTATCTTTCGTTTGCTCCAGCTCGACAAAGTATGCCAATACCGCCACACCGACGCCAAACGTGGGCAGCGGCAATCCTCCGCAGATGTGAGTGCAAACGCACGTCTGATGTCTGCCAGCAAGATCTTGGCGATGCCTGCGTATCCTTGTCTGTTCAGCGAGAGCATTGGGTATCTGTTCGACCCATTTCCTAAGGACGTGACAGTCGAATACGGCAACAGCGGCAGACACGTGCTCTGCTGGTGCGCGAGACAAGATGAGTGACACTATGCCATCAGGGGGCTTTCGTGTCAGGAATGGTGTTCAGCCAGCGAGTGACTTTGATATGATCCACGGTGACAACGACACAGAGACCCCAACTCTGGCTGCCAGCCACATCTTCACTGTTTATGGACCGTCACGCGAGAATTTTATGGCCTGCAAGAAGATGGACAAATCCTCAACCTGCACCGTGAGCAGAGTGCGAGACATGTACTGAGACAGTGAGACATAAGCACCCTCCATTTGTCCCCTTGCAGATCACCCAAGAAGAGTGGACAACGGCGTCGACTCCCTCGTCGATCGACCACACCAAATTGCTCGCCGTCGGCATCGCCGAGAACGACTTGCTCATCGGGGTCAGGAACGACGGCCTCATGAGTCAGTCACCATGGGCCACATCCTGTGGCGAAGAGGGCGTGTCCAAAGCCAGCAATAGCTTCGAATTCACCATCAGAGAAGACACGGGGAAGCTTGTCTTTGACGTGGACACGGCCGACCTGGACCCTGGAGTGTATGAGCTGTGCTACTGCCCTTGTGAGCACAACCACACCAAAAGGAGAAGCCCTGTCATACATCTAGCTGGTCACTGCCTTCTTTTCTCGTGTTTTAGTGAAGATGTGCATCAATACAGCATGCATTGATGCACAGAAGGAGACTAACCGCGACGACTGCACTGCCGACGAGCACTTCAAGGCCTCGGCCGGCATTATGGTTGTTGAAGGCCCCAGCAAAGAAGGCCTCCCAAAGGAAGATGGGAACTACTTCTACGAGGCGGCAGCCAACGAGCCGTTTTCAGTTATTCTGAGGGGATACGGACTCGGGGGAAACTCAGGCCACAAGTGAGGCAGCAAACACGCCCCGGTGCACCAAGCTGTGACTGTGTCTCATTCCTTGATTAGGTTGAGGATTGTCGAGGGCTCCAGCTGCATGGCAGACATGACAGCATCAGGTCTTGTGTACTCCTACCCAGAGGGCTCATCAGCCGGGACCCTCACAAGTGAAGACGTCCTTGGTCCACCACTGCCCGCCACCTATGTCTCCCACAACGGCTCCGAAGTGACACTCAGTCTTCCCGCAACTAAGGAGACACTGGAGGCAGGAGGCATCGAGACGGGAGGCTTCGTGTCGTTTGCAAAGTCGCTGCAGTCTGGCTCGCCCGCCACGATAACGAGTGAGGCGACTTACACACCTGACGAGCTATTTCGCACATGGTCGACATCGCCCACGAAGACCACGGAGACAGTTCTAGGTCGGACCTTCTACAAGGTCGTCGGCGGCCCAAGGGACGTGAGCGGCGGCGCTGCTGAGATCGACATACAGACTTATGATGCCTTCCCGAGTATCTATGCCGACGTCAACCGTCCGACGTGGGACCCCACACAGCACCAGATCCAGGCAGCGAGTGCCGAAATGTACGCTTTTATCTACACGGACGCCATTTCAACTGAGCTGTCTATCTGCTGGACCGGCGACTCCACTGCAAACGACAACAAGTGGCACAAGTGGGCAACGCTCCGCGTCACGGGCCCACGAGCATTCGACACGGCACCGACCATGTTTTTCGGTACACCTGAAAAGGGCAAAGCGGGCCCTCTGGTGCTGTCATTCACGCCTTCTGGGTCTGAGAGCGACGACGTCAAGCTGGGCGACGGCATGAAATCGACGGCGTACATTTACAAGACACACCAGATGGGCAAGTCATTCAGGCAAGAGGAAGCTGTGGACCGACCACTGGCTGGACACCGGGGAAGATGGGTGTGTATGGTCGGCTGTCGCATCCATCTTTCTGTGTGTTGGTGTCTCCAGGGTCCGCGTGCGCTTCCCATCCTCGGATAAGTTCTTCCCGGTCTTGACAAACCCTTGGAGCAGCGGCGACGCCACCCCCTATACGGACGTGGCAAATCTCAGAGGCACCATGAACGCAGCACAAGCGAACTGTGGCAAAGTCTTCTACGAGATGTGGACGGCCGACGGGGACGGCTTCCCGCTTCCAGCGAGATGTTGGTCAGCGCTGTGATGCATAGTCTTGATTGGCCTTCACTTTCCTGTCTGATGAGTGCAGGGTGGAGTCTGCAGGAAACACACTTGGCAGTGGCCCCTCCAAGACAGTGGATGTGATCATGGAACTGTCGAAGGTGAGCGGAAACGAATGTGTGGGAACACTCCTCTTCTGTATGTGTTGCTACCCTCTCCATGGCTGTCAGACAGCGGCCATAAAGTCAGGGGTCAAATATTGGGTGGTCATGAAGGCAGCCATCGAGGCCAACTCTCTTGTGGCGGACGAGTAAGGAAGGATTCTGCCTGACCTGCAAGGTGGCAGTCTGTCTGTCTGTCTGTCTGTCCGTGTGTGTGTTTCAGCTACATCTCAGTGGAGATAGCCACTCTAAGCGATCTCGCTGACCCCTCACTCGGCATCATCGAGAGCAAGGCGCTCACATACGACCACACAAAGCAGACATCATCGACATGTGACCCGAGAAAAGAGAAAAAACAAATTCCGTCCAGGCCTCATTGCTCGTGTGTGTGTGTGCACTCAGATGCCTACAGTGTCGCGACTGTGAATCAAGACGCAGGTTCCGACCCAAGTGGACTCACCGATGCCGCCCCGTTGGCCAATCTAGACGCGAGCGACGCCACACCAGACTCAACTGTCTCCATCGTAAATATTCGACGCAGCGTCGGCAATGATCAAAATACCTGGAGTTATGGGCTGGCAGGTGCAATGTGACGACACGACTGGCTGTCCGCTGCACATTCACATCAAAATCACCAGAATCCAAGAGGGAGACGTAGGCAAGGGACTTTGCTTAGCTAACGGCCAGCAGCCCTGGTGTGTCTCGTGCGCTTGCAGGCGCTGTACGTGTTCCTGTATCCACTGACCTTCTGGGACCTGCAGGGCGATCCAGACTGTGGAGCCGACTTCGCCTGCTCTTACGTGGATTTCTTCTACATGAGCAGCGGCCCAGAAAGCGAATACAGGCAGACTCTCAAGATGAAAGCGACAAGAAGCGGCGGCTTCACAGGCGGAAGCGTGACTATCTCCGTGACAGTGAACCGCCGCAGCGAGGGCCACTATGGCTTTCAGCCCCTCATCCCATTCTATGGCGCCTTGGTACAGCTGTGAACGACAATCACGGACAGCACAACATTCAGTGTATCTGTTCTGCATTTGTCAGCTTGTGGAAGGTGACGACATTGCCAACAACAAGGCGCGGTGGTACGGGGTCGACATGGAAAAATCGGATCGCGTGCAGTGGAAGAGGGATGGGCCGCTGGCGACTATAGCCACTTATCGATGGACGGATGGCAACAATGGGAAGCGCTATGCAGATCAGACAAACACCCTATTCGTCAAAGTCAAAATGGGTGGGACACGCTGCCTGAATCGAGAGAATAGGAGAAAGGCGCATATAATACACGCCCGTCTTGTTCGATTCGCGCAGGCACTGCTCTGTACGGCAGCATCAATCCTACCACCTATTATTCGTATCTCTTCATCGCCCTGCCCGACTGGGGTGTCGGCAACGATCGACATTACTTCGAGCGCGTGACGGGCGACCCTGTGAAGGTGAGGGTGACGCCAATGGGCCTTGCGAGACACGCGATTGCGCCCGTATTGGGCCTGCGTGTGTGCAGGTGACCGACACGCCAGCCGAGCCCGTGCACCTTCTCAAATACAGTAGCCTTGCTGGCGACATTTATACAGAGCCGACCCAGTACAGCATGCTCGAGGGATCGTGGGAGGCACCACCGAACCCGCCATACACGGAGAGCGTTTGTGCCGTCAAGCTGGCTGAAGGGCAGATGATCCCCGCTGGTGAGCTGATAAGAAGGGCAGACTGGCGGGATGCGTCGTTTGCATACTGTCTCCCCTGTTCCAGGCAGCACTTTGCTGTTGAAGGTCATTGTGCAGAATCCCGACACGTATATCAAGGCATCGGATCCTAACAATGTGTGGAAGGTCTTTGTCGCGTCGGTAATACAAACAAATGCACGAGTGCCGACAAGCGAACATACTCTTGACCTTCCATGGCTCTCTGCACAGGGCCTGTCCAACCAGGACGGCACACCTTCTGCCCTGGTTGAGAGCGCCAAGACGCTTTTCAAGGCAGACGACAACGACATGCGCTTCTCCAAAAATGTCCCCGTCCTCGGCAAGATGTCTTCTTCGGAGGCGTCCGTCAGTCCCATTGACACGTTCCGACCGGGGGCGGTGGGGAAGGTACAGGTGTATTTCAAGCCCATTCAGGAAACCGGCGTGACGACCTCCACTGACCCAGCGGCACAAGGCAGAAAGGTAACAACGTGTGCAGAACGAAAACAGAGCAGGATTCACTGCATGTATGTCGTCCCTCAGTGGGGCTCGATCACGCTTATGGCGCCCGAAGACTTCCGCTTCACGGACTTCACGTGCACGTCAGCAGCATCAGTGGCGGTGGGCAATGCAGATCCCAACGACCGCAGCACGTGGCTGCCCGCCCTCGAGTCCATCTCGTGCTACAAAAACATGTGAGACATCGGCACGCAACGAGAGAGACTTCACCCGCAAATCATCGGTGTGCTGCTTATGACGCATGCTTCAAGGATGAACGTTGCGCTTGCAAAGGGCGAGTCCCTGCAGCCGGTCAACTACGGCTTCACTGTCGAGATGGAAAATGCTAACACCGGCTACTCAACGAGGGACTATTGGGAGATATACACACACGACGGTCCCTGCACGCTGGACGCCAGCGGCATATTGGGCTGCCAAGACGTAGATGGCATGGATATCGACACGCAGACGACACCAGTTCAGGGCATCAACATGTGGCCTTTGACCTCGACCCCATCCCAACTCATACCGCCGTTCCACACGTTCAGCAAGGTACTGGGCTTAAATATGCTGCAGGTTTTGGTGGCGGTTGGTTATGTCGGTCAGGCTGCAGCGGCGGGCGAGATGCTGTTTGAGGTGTTGATCACGGATGCGAGGCCCAGTGATGGCGCTGAGGTGACTGCGCTCGCCAAGTTTATGCTCAAGGAGGCCCTGGACCCAGCCGACAAGCTATGCATTACGATGCCGAGACACTTCAAGCCCAGGGGGCCGGCGCAAGCCGTCACAGACGTTGCCCAGATTGAAATATACGATGCCGTGGTGCGTGAGGGATTCTATGACCGGTCGCCCGGCAGAGAACCAATCGAGTAAGGCGAAACAAGGCCGGAGCAGCGTGGCTGTCACTTGGCCATGTGCAGTCGGACGGCAAGCGGCTGGTGGGTGGACATCAATGCATGGGCCATCACCCTCGCAAACGATGACGGCGGCTTCACCGACACCAGCGGCATTTACTACCTTAACTTCATGGTGGAGGTTGCGGACAGCTACAGCCCTTTGGTCGCCTACCCGACACCAAACACCTTCTTCATATTCAGCTACACCGGGGATCCGACTTTGATAGAGGACGGTATGCGACGCTACATCTTGCATGGCATGGTGGTCACTGAGGTCTCCGGCCCTATGCCTTTCATCTGTTTCTTCATGCAGAGTTCAGGGATCCTTCGAAACGTCTCTTTGCGGCTGTGAGCCACCCTGCCCAGCCAATCAATATGTTAATGAACGCCGACGTCTCATTCAGCACTCCTGGCAGGAGCGCGGACAATCTACTCGGCTTTGGCATCCAGACATTTGCAGGAATCCCCGCAGGAGGCTGCCTGCACATGAAATTCCCTCCCAGCAAGAGTGCTGACGGCCAGAAATTCAAAGCTAAAGGCGACTGCCTGCTGCAACATGTCGGACCCACAGACTTGTAAGCCAACAACAAGACGCAAGCAGAGTAGTTATAGTTTGCTATGGTATGTGCAGTTATACACCTCCAGCTCCGTTCCATGACAAAATGAAGTGCTCTTTCGGTGTCGATGGGACCACCATCATGGAAGTGACGATGACCCCAACGGAGGGCGAGCTGCCGCCTGGACGGTAAGGACAGACCGACATCGTCGATACACGGCCCAATTGTTTTACCTGGTCTTCCTCAGCTATCGCTTCGGCTTTGAAGTGGCCAACCCGGATGAAGCGGGCCTCGACAGCGCAACAGATATTTTCTACTTCTACTCGTTCAAGGAATGTGACGAGACTCTGGTCAGGCAGACAAGCCAAAGTGCACAGGCAGCATCACACAAATTTGCCGCTGTATTTTACGCAGCTGAAGGATGTGGCCCCTGACGAGGATGTTCCTTCGGGGCTTTTTGAGCTCGACAAGAGCACGAGCATCGTGTCGAAGCCCATCGTTGCCCCCTTTACCAAGGCCGCCCTGCTGTCGTCCAACAGCTCCAAGCCAGGGGATGTCTCCGAGCTCGTATTCGGCTTCGAGACGTCCTCAGCAACACTCAGCGCTCTCAGTAATGCACCACACGAGTTGGTGATTATCGCACCAGACGGGTATATACAATAAAGCAAAACATGGTAAAGTGCCCACAAATTGGACCCATCAATGCATTGATGTCTGCATCAGGTACGTATTCCCTCTTGTGTGCGACGACGAGCACAGCCTCCAGCCGTTCAATGGGACAGACCCATCTGGAGAGTACTCAGACTTTGGGGAGTCCTTCGCAGTCGACTCGTGCACTGCCGACGCGCAGATGCGGTCAGTCGTCACTTTGATCTTCGCCGACTGGTCCGACAAGACGCAGAAGACCTACGCCTTCTCCATCAATGTCAGCAATCCCACTAGCTACCCCGGCCTTAATGCATTTAGCATTGTCCTGGACAATGTGGCTGGCGGCACCTTCGCGGGCACTGAGCTCGACATGTTCATGCCTGTTGTCGTCGATACGGTTAAGATACCCCCCCTGACGGCCTCGAATCCTGTACGCACAGTGCAAAGACTAGGTGCCTCCTTTACAAAAATGTGTCTCTCCGTTTGTTTGGCCGGTGTAGGTGGTCGGCAGCCCCAACAGACTGACCTTTGACCTGAACACAACGCAGACGATCACCGGCCCCATGAGCTCTCTGACTATCAAAGTGCCGCCAGATTATTCGTCGTCCACCACCACAGGGACCGCCAACAAGATGTGTCCCCAGGCGTCCGTCACTATCAGCAAGCCAGACAATCTAACACAGTCATCAGTCTCGACCGAGTATTCCGTCTACAACGCAAGCGCTGGGACTATGTCTCTTGCGACCCTATTCGACTCATCCCTGGCCCAGCTGACCGACATAAAGTCAGGCACGTCCATCATCTGTGTGTCCGAGGGCGGTTGGCTCGTGTTTCTGATTGTCGACGACGACATCGACTGGCCCCCGGGAACACATATCTCGTAATAGACGGCATCCACATGACACACACAGAGCTTGTGCTCCACACACCCTCTCATATGCCTCTATGTGTGTCTCGCAGTATCGCCTTCGACGTAATGAACCCGAATATTGCCAGCCCCGCTCTCCCGAGCTTCGCGGCATGGTCGTGCGCTCCAAAGGGCTTGCCCGCCAAACCATGCGGCGTCGACGGGCTACCTGCCTTCCTCGCGTCTGAGGCGTCTCTCGATTACGCAGTGATCCCCGGCTTTGGGCTGCTATCACAAGTTGGTGTCGAGTGGAGGCCGCCAGAAGGAGAAGAGTGAGACTCTGATATATGAGATAGATGACTGAACATCATGAAACACGCTCAAGCATATGACGTGTCTTAACATGCAGGTCGATAGAAGGCGAGGGTGAGCAGAGTTTCACAGCGATCTTGCTGGTGACGCTCGACTCGTCCTTGCTGCCTCCGTCCAACGACGACGTGATCGACATCAAAATGCCTCCTGCATTTGGGCCTATTTGTGACCCAGCGCTGTCAAGCCCAGACCTGCCAAATGACCCAGACGACGACCGTGCCTTTTGGGTGATGCCCCAAGCCAAGTACGCGGACAACATAGCGTGACAGCCATAGGCACACGAATCAGTATTCTCCATCTGTTGTAGTGCTGTCCCCGTGACCGATGTTGGCGGCAATACTGTGGTCGACAGCGCCGTCCAGCGGGCAGCCACATGCGTGGCTGCAGGCGACGGCAGGACGGCAGCCCCAGTCTTCCGTGTATCGGTCAACGGCACGGCTGACGGCCTTACTCTCAACGTGACAGTGGGCGGCAAGAACCCGAATGCGGCTGTCGTGAATATGTGGACAGTCACGGTGAGATACAAAAGGGATAGTCAGGTGCTGACGCATCTGGCTGCTGTCTTGCTGTCAGTACACACGAGCCTCTGGCAAGATCTATCAGAACACAGTTTCTGGATGGCTGATCAGTCCAGCGGTGAGTAAGAGCGGCACAGGCGAAGACATGGCATGAGAGACACGACTGCTTTGCCATCTCATCTGTTCCGTTCGTTCAGCTTCCCGACGTGGCTTTCGACCTCGGTGTGTACGATCCCCTGGGGGTGAAGGGCTCCCAACGCACCCGGCTCAAGAAGGCCGATTCAGCAGTCCTCAACGTCAGCTTCACGCCGGTCCAGGCCTTCGACCAGATCACCATCCAATCGGCATCCGATTTCGACCTCAGCAAGGTTGAAGTGGCTGAAGAGTCCCTTGCAGACCATCCCAACGCAGAGGTGGTTTCAAAGGCGGCAGACGAGGTCACCGTCACTGGACTGAGGGTGAAGAGTGAAGGAGGCATGTTCACATTGTTTTCCCTCGCGCTGACCAACGTGGCTTTGCCTGAAGACGCTTTCCCAGAGGGCTCGCTGTGGAGTCTCAGTACGGTGTTTGGCACGACACAGCGTGACCGGCTGACTGACTATACTGAGGGGATCGAGGCATGCGTCCTTGGCGAGTGGGCAGACGTCGCCATCACACGGGTAACGGACGGACGGATGGATGTATGGAAACAGTACAGCACGCAGACGGTATGTAAGCATCCGTTCGGTTTGCTGGCTCCTAGGCGAGTACAGAACGCCCACCGCCCAACGCCAAAATCAGTCCCCCACCTGTGCTGACCTTCACTTCCGATGTCGCCATCACACCTGCACAAATGCCCCTTCTTATCGTCGTCCCACCACCAGGTCACCCAACCCACCTGCCTCATTTGTGTGTTTATCCACTGTGCACCTTCCTCCGCATGTGCCGTAAAAGGATTTGCCATGGGTACTATCGCTGTCGGAGACTCTACGATCCCCATCAACAGCTCAGGGCAGTACACCGACCCCGAGCGGATGATATACACGTATGTATTACCCTCGGTGTCCGCTGTCCGAAATACATTGGAGCTAACGGACGTGACCCTCCCAAACGACTCGATGGTCGATGGGTCCATCGGAATGGACTGGCTCTGGGTCCTCGGAAGACAGCCGACCATTCATGAGACAGACAAGGATTTCGAGTGGGCTATTGAAGGCGTTAAGGGGACGCTGCCCGTCACCCACAAAGTCATGCCAAGCCTGACCGTGAGGAAAAGGATAAAGACCCGCGCTGGACGAATCTTGTCTCTCCATCTTACTTACCCTGTCGATGCATGCAGTTTTTGACGTCGATCGGCAGCCCTGTGTCTCCGTTGACGAGTACCTTCACCATGGCAGCCGTCGGGGGCAGCACTGCTGTCGGCGCTATGGGCGCGGAGTGGGACGTCACACTGGAGATACAGGGAACTGGCATCGGTATGCAACACAACCGATACATTTTCTTTCCAATGCTGTTTGCTGTTGACGCAGTGTCAGAGGCGGGCTACCAAGCCAAGATCACACCGGGAGGCGGAGGATGGTCCTTCTCGCCCATATGTACAGGAGCCAATGACACGGGCAGCTGCGTGGGGATGGCAGGGGGCACCTATGCTGTCGTGTCCAAGGGCGTCAGCATTGCCGACAGCCCACACAAGACGCTCTCCTTCTCTTTTCGCATGAATCATCCAGCCAACATCACCGCCAACACGATGAACCCATGGACTATCCTGGTCTATGAGCCGTCAGCAACAGGTGGTGAGCCGAAAGAGAGGGCAATCACCACAGAGGCCTCGCCGCCGAGCGTCGTGGTCACCGAAACCTCGGTACTTACACTGGAGAATGCCATGCCGTCTCTGGTGTTATTTCTTTTGTCCACATTGCAGGCTCATTATACTCCCATAGCCAAAGAGATAGTTCCTGTGACCTTGACCTTCAAGCCGACTATGCCTGTTCTTGATGGCACTCTCAAGCTGACGGTTCCGGCCGACTATGTGTTAGCGGGCGGCATCGGCATGAGGGACTCGTCCAACAGGCCCCTTCCATACCTGGGCGATTTGGGACCCAACGCAACCATCGACATACAGGTACACACGTGAGTCTCTGCGCAAGAAGGATCAAAGACAGCCATGCCTTTGCGTATGTGCCTCTGTGCTGTGTACAGGCGCAGGAAGTCGCGAGTGTGTACATAGAGGACACGAGCGCGGAGGTGCATGTCAGCATGGCCATGAGTATCCCCGCCTCGGGAGATGCACCTACTTTTGGCATCAACATCGTAACCAATGAATGAGACAGGAGCCAGCCAAACATATATGTCACAAGCACATCACTCACATCAATCAGACAGACATGTGTGTGCTCGCGTGTTCTGTCAGCTGGACGAAGGCGGGATGATTATCATGGGTAATAATGCCATCAAGGGCAAGCCGGTCGCATCGCTGCTGCGGGGAGTGCCAAGAGTCGTCATCACAGGGTAAGAAGGAAGGATGGACACGTAGAAGAGGCGCAAAAACACCACGGTCCACTTCTCCATATATTGTTGTGTGCAGGCCTTTCCTTGACGGTGCTGTGGTGAGAGTCACAGTCGCCATTGATGTGGAGACCTTGCCGACAACCGATGCAAGTATGTAGGACGACCATCGCCCACCAGTCACTCACGCGAGTGTCTTGCCTTTTCTCTGATGTCACGATGCATCAGCCACTGTGCTGCGGCTTTTGGTCAAGGGCCCATTTGGCGTGCCGCCCGTGGTATCACAGCAGCTGGGCCCCTGCAGCCCATCGATCAACGGCTATGTAGCGGCCTACATCACATGCAGTCTCTCACAAACAGAGAGCGGCGTCATACAACTCACATTCGCCCTCGCGCCGGAACAGGTACGAGCTGGTGTCTCCTATGCTTCGTGAATGCCCCTTGTTCCCTGTGGATGTTGGCTGCCTGCAGGCGGGCCAGCAGATGGCTATTGAGCTGTCTTTCAGTCTGTTGCTGCTTCCGAGGGAGGGCGATCCCGAGGAGCTGGGCACCAGGTTCGGCCCTGCGTCAGTGGATGTCACGTACGAGAGCCCCGGTGGGACAGAGCTCTTCACGGCCGCTCATGCCGTCGCAGAGGTCTCACAAACGTCTATAGAGGAATTCAGCGGCGCACACACTACAAAGACATATAGGTATAGGTCAATTGCTGGTCTTCTCTCATTAGCTCTCGCGTTTGTTCCCCTCTTGTGGAGCGCACATGTGTGACCATTATCCATGCGATATACGTTTTGTGGTGGCTGGCCACTCTATGCATCATAATGCTGTGACCTATGGTCTGCTTTCCCTCGTTGTGCCATTTATTTATCGGACAATGTGTGCCTGTGTGCGGATGTATGCGTCTCAATTGAGTATTTGTCCTCACACAAACGGCTGTCGACAAATACACGAAAGTCCTCTGGCTCCTACATTCGAAGCAGCAGTGACAGCATCGTCGGCAGCCAATGGTCGAATCGTCAGAGGGCTGATGCACTCATTTGTCATGGATACCGAAGACGACTCGAAACACGCCTCCCTCCCCCCTCCTGACCCTCACTGTGCGCGAATTGCTGTCGAAATCAGTGTATGCTTCTCCGTCCCTGTCGACGGACTCAATCACCAGTCGTCCCTTTTCGATTGGAATCGGCGTCAGAACGACAAGCAGCTCCTCTTTGGTCTCGTCTCGGTTGTGCAGCCGATAGAACAAAGGCACCCGCCTCTTGCTGACGTCGTTGCGGAACAGCATGCTGTAGACATAGGCATAGAAGGCCAACTCCATGCTGTGGAAACAAGACTTGTATATGCTGCCCTTGTCGCCCTTGACCACGGTCTTTCCCGTCTCATCCAGTTGGCTGAAGACATCACCGTGGACAGGGTCAACCAGCCTGTCGTAGAAGAACATCAGGCTCTTGTCGATGACTTCGAGGTACTCGTCCCTCTCTGCTTCGCCCATCTGCCGGTCCAGTGTGAGAACCGTCATGCCAGCCATGAAGCTCTGCTCCGCTTGCCAATACCCCTTTTGTCTCGACGTGATGCCCTTTCGCCAGTCGAGCAAGGCATGAGGAGAGCCCACTTGTTCGTCGAAAGCTCCAAGCATTTTGTTTTCTCTCCACAGCTTGTCAATGGCGTCGAGGTATTCGGTGGATGATGGGCTGAGGGCATACATGCGGGCCAGCGTCCAGATGATCTTATACAGATGGCCGACTTGTGTGGTCGTGTCGCTCTCGGCAATTGTCCAGTTGGTGTAGAAGCCGCTGGCGACACCGTACTTGACGGATGGGCTGTCCATCGAGGCCACTACCTTTGTCATCTGTGCGTGAGAGGAGAAGCAAGGCACAGACACGTGTAGTGGAGCGTGCGCCTCGTCAGTCACATTTCCATGCACTTACGAGCAGGTCACTGAGGTTGCTATATCTCTGCATAGTCAGCTGGTGCGCAGCGTTGCCCTCCTTGCCGCCGGCCCCCTCGCCCGCCCCATGATTGATCAACAGCCTCGGCATCGCCCACACATTCAGGACGTCCAGGACGCCACCAATGCCCTTGCCAAACTGCCTTGAGAAATCCCGGCTGTTCTTCTCGAAGTACCCGCCCTCCTTCGTCTCGGTGTCCCAGAGTAGCTGGTCGTACTCTTGAATGGATTTGTCGAGCGTTTCGCAGTGGACAGCAGGGTCATTGGTCGCCTCACACATAGCGACCATCCCCAGAAGTGCGTACGTCTGCACGAGGAGCCACTTCTCGTTGTCTTCTGACCTGAAAAGTAGGCAAACAGCCAGAACCAGAGCGTCAGGGCACTTCGACACATGTTTCTTTCTTTCACTCTCTCCCACCCCACCCAGTTGGTATTCGATTTCCTCGGCTGTCTGTCTGGGTGTGCCACCCGCCGTACACCTCATCATGACCGTGCTCGTAGATGAAGTTCAGTGCCTGGCTTGCCAATTGCAGGTGCTTCTCGTCGCCTGTCGCCATGAAGGCCCGGGATAATCCGTACGCGAGGCGGCTGTGCATCACGACGCCTTTCAGATCCGCCTCAAGGACAGCTCCTTCCCGGCCGATGACGCTGAAAAAGCCATCATTGTCCTTCTGTGCCTCCCAGAATTTGCCTGTGTCGTTGATGAAGGCGACGTTCTTTATCGGATCCAACATGTGCTCACTCCTCACCTCATAGGCTGCTGCTGAGGCGCCAGAGACCAGGAGTGCCACTGAACTTAACGCGGTGTACATTGTCGCGCATTGCCGCATTTTTCCTGCACACACAACTACGATGTGGCTGATGGTTGATGTGCAACGATGCGCCGGGGGCCACAGACGCGTTGGTCTACGGCACAAACACAGTACTAGAGGACCACTCACAATTTCGTACTATTAATTCAACCCAAGCTCGCAGAGTGTTTTTTTGTCGCTTTTCCCCCTCTCTCTGATAATGGACGAGGAGCCTGTTCCCGAATCGCAGCAGCCCCCAGAGGCAACTGAAGGAGACGAGGCCGGGGCGGCCGAGGGGCAAGAGCCCCACGGCGAAGAAATGGACGAGCCCAGCACGGTTCCTGTGGAGGCTGGAGGAGGCGACGCTGCCGCTGAAGAGGAGCAGCAAGACACACAACAACCGCAGCAGCAGGAGGAAGAGGAAGAAGGGCAAGGAGGGGCAGAGGGAGTTGGGGAGGTGCAGCAGCCGCCTGAAGGGGAAGAGCCCCAAGTCGATGAAGACACGATGGAGAGGGAGCAGCCTCATGAAGACTTCCCCGTTGCTGAGCAGCCCGCCGACGAGGCCGAGCAGCCCGCTGAACCGGCTCCACACGAAGCAGAGATGGAGCCCGTCAGCGATATTCCGCGCCCACACGAGACGGATGTCGTGGAGCACGGCGCTGAGGGGATGCCTGAGACGTTTGAGGGAGAGGGGCCTGTAGATGAGGGGCTACCGAGGCCTGCTGATCAAGAAATCGCAGGGGTGGGGGAGGGGGCGGGCGAGGCGGTGGCAGAAGCGGAGAGGGAACAACCACACCATGTTGAAAGGGAGGCTGACGAAGAGAGGGAAGCTCCGCCACCGCCACTAGAAGACTCTGCCTTGGCCTATGCCGAGGCTGAGCAAACTGTTGAGGACATATTGCGGGCGGCTGGTGGTGAGAAAGAGGACGTGGAGCCATATGGTGAAGCCGAGCGCGAGGACGCTGCTGAGAGGGAGATGGGCCAGCTCGAGGAGGGCCAGGAGATCGGTCATGGAGAAGAGGAGGACGCTTATGCTGAGGCCACTGCAGCCGAGGCCGAGCCAACTCAGGACGAAGGTGTTGAGGCAACCCCCTTTGTTCGTGCGCCTCACGACGAGGAGGACGTTGAGGCAGAAGAGGCAGAAGACAGAGAGCCCCCGCCTGAAGAGGAGGAGGCTGAGGAGCACCTCGCAAGCGCGCCCCACCAAGACGCCGCCCCTTTGCTGGACGACTCCGTCGGCGAGGAGTCACCCACCGCACGCACAGAGGGACCGTCTGCTCTCGAGACGGCCCAAGAGATGCTCGAGGAGGCGGGACAAGATCGTTCGCCGAGCAGCTACGGTGCGTCATTGCTGCCTCCGCCAGGTGTAGTGCCGGCCGACAGCCCGCGCACAGCTGCGAGAAAAGCGGTGAAATTCGGTGAGGAGAGCCCTTCCAGTGCTGCTGAACCGGCGGAGGTGGTGGCGGTCGACCCCTTCAGGGCGATTGTTAGTGTTAGCACGGTGGACGCCGAGAGCAAGGAGCGGTCTTCTGTTGTCATCAGCATTCCACAGAGGTGAGCGGGGGGTGCAGCTGTTGGTGGCACGAGTGCCTGATGTCTCCTTTCTCTCTTTGTGTGTGTGTGTGTGACTGACTGTCAGGGCGATAACTGATGCACATAGCAGCAGTGCCAGCAGCGGCCGGCCATCCCGGTCTCTCTCCCAGTCGTCTCAGCTGAGCATGTACCTGCAGGGCGGCTACAGGCACGTCAAGTTTTCGCGCGTCCAGCTTGCCACTACCTTCATCGTCCTGGTGTCCATCATCCTCTGGACCTCCATCTTCGACGGCGCCGTGGTGCTTGAAAAGGACGCTAGAACCACCATCGACACCCTGACCAAGCTCATGCAAGGCATCGGTGACTTCCTGCTGCTGGCGTGCTTCACCCAGCTGGTCTTCTACATCAACCTCTGGAAGGAAGGCGCCCCGCCTCCTCCATGGGCACTCCTCGGCGTCGCCCTCGCACTGGTCGTCGCATACGGTGCCGTGTCCATCGGCCTGTCGATCGCCATGTCGGACTTCCCCCTATACCAGCCGTCTCTCCTCGCTGTCACCCTGCCGCTGCTCATGGCCGTCTACTTCTTCTGGGCGCACCAAGTCTACCCAAACCGGGCAAAGAAACACCTCCAACAGAGGTGCATCTTTGTGGCGATCTTCCTGATCCCGGGCGTGGGCGGCTTCTGCGCGCTGAGGGGGCTGGAGGGGACGATCATCGGTGCTCTCGACCCGGGGGAGGACGTGTCGGTATCCGATCTGTCGGGCATGTCGGGCAACGTGTGGGTGGGGCTCTTTTTCCTCACACTGTGGATGGTGCTTGGGGCGTACACATGGTCGGGCAAGTCCATGGGCAGGCTGCGGGACCCCACGCCACTCTTCCTTCTGCCTTTCATTGTCATCGCTGTCACGCCTATTCTTCTCGGTCGGTACAGAAGAATGAAGATGCACCACGACAAAGTATCGATGACAATGTAATGTTGGTGTCCCTCCTCCCCTGCAGGCGAAATCTATACTTTGGGGGTTGACCTCTTGGTTGACCGGCTTCCCGGCTTCCGAAAGCACGACTGGTTCATCATGGAGCGGCGGGACACCACCTTCTCGGGCTACTTCTTCCTCACCTTCGTGCTGTTCATCATCCTGCAAGCCATCCTACGGTCGGGACTCAACAGGCTCAGCCGACGGTCGCTGTTCATGCGGAAAGTGGCGGCCACTGTGGGTGTGGGCGTGACGTACTTCGGCGACCTCCTGCTGGCCATGTGGGTGGTGTGCTCGCCGCCCGTGGCCCTCGCCATTGACGTGGATGTGGACCCGAGAGTGAGCACCGACCCGTCCGCAGTGGAGGCAGAGCGGCCACCGTAAGCCGAGACACGTGTATGTCATCAGAGAGGGACACATAGATAGAGCAAATGTCCCATTGTCTTCTCTGCCAGGGTGACGGAGGTGAGTGTGCGGCCGTCAGCCGCCTTCTGGGTGCTGTCCTTTGCCATACTGATCCGCAACATCATTCGCGACGGATGTCTGGGTGACGACATCGGCGAGACCTCTCTGGCCGGCTGGAACACGTGCAGGATGAACAACTACTTCTGCCCACCGATGCCCATGCTCACACGGACGTGCTTCGGATTCTGTGACGCCACCGTCAGACCGCAGGCAAGCACCGACAGCCAAATCAGGCAGAGGCTGTGAACAACGATAGATAGATGGGATGGCTGTGTGTGCGCTGCGGTGCAGGGGAGGTGGGGCCAGTTCCTGTCGCGAATGCGGTCGGCTTTTGGCTGGTTCGGTGCCTATGACACGGACGAGGACCGGAGGATGGACCACTTCCATATCGCCCAAGCGCACATTCTCGCACAGCACGCAAGTCAGCGCAGACACACGCACACACAAGAGCAGCATATATCTGCATCCTTGAATCTGGTCAAACAAATTTCTTTTCTTGCCTGCCCTGCCTGCCTGGTGCTCAGTGGCGATCTTTCCGGTCGTGTTGGTGACTCTTGAGACCTGGCTGTGTTACGGTGGCGATGCCAACAGCAAGTTCCGCACGCCCATGCTGCACCTGGTGAACCTCATGGCGGCCCCGCCCACCACCACAACGGATGACGGCGATGACGTCCTTTTGCGCAACGATTGCCGGAAGGTCGATGCGGAGGGCTGGAGGGTGCAGGAGGACCTGAGGCGCTTTGCAGTCCTGCAGGGGGTCATCTTCATGGTCCTTGTCTATGTCGGCCTGATACTCGTCAGGATGATACAGGTGAAGAATCAATACATATGTCGACAAAGCGTTGTGTGTCCCGCTGTCACGTGTCTGTCTCCCTTTTTCTGCCGGTGTGCGGTGTCTGCAGACGCGAAAGATGCGGGGGAGTGCGGTGATAATGCCGGCAGAGTGGCGGGGCGGCGGCTTCTTCGGCCAGAACCTTGACGACGCACAGGATCCATACGGAGCTTCATTCGCATCGTCAAGGTACCTAACCTAATTCGCACATCGTCAATGGACATAGCTAGATGTGTCTGCATATTCAACTTACTGCTGGGGTGCAGTGACAGCTCCCCTTCGGCAGCGAGGCCCACTGCATGGGGGCAAGGTTGGCGAGACGCACAAGGCCACAACAGACAGACAGACAGACAGACAGACAAACAGACAAACCTGTGTCTCTGCTGTGCTGTGGTGTGTTGTGCAGACGCCGTGACCTTTGGCCGCCAGGACAGCGGCCGTTCACACATGAACTTCGTGGAGCAGCTGGATGACAGTGCGCGTCAGCTGATGATCGACCGGCCGCAGCTGTTCCTGCTGCTGGCCATCGCCGTGTGGGCCACATACCAGGCCATGGCCATCATGTACGACACCAACCTGCGAATCGCCGGAGAGATGGACCTGCCCACCATCCCAAGCCAATGCATCTCCACCACTGTGCCGTGATTGATGGATGCATCGAGCTAGCCATCGCTTGGTTGCGTCGATGGCTGCTTGCTGTTTTTGCCTCTCTTGCTTTGCCGGGTGCGCCGAGGGCTGCTCCGCTACCGCTGGTCGGTGCTGAGCGGGGGGAGAAACTCACTTACAGTACTTGCTGGGGTGATTGCTGTACAGACTCACAGCTGTGAGGGGAAGGTGGGTGTGGACCTCTTACATGTGTGTGTCGATTGACTACATATGTGCATGGCCATGAATGAATGAACTTCGCGTTCGTGCTCATCCGAAACGGTCAATCCATTTGTGAGTTAGGGCAAGCAAAAAAGTACGCTAGAGGCAAAACACTTTGCTTTGTCCACTCTTTCTTTCCCTAGTCTTCCTCCCCGCGGTCAGTGCACGTGCCTGAGTCTTGTTCGTCTGCGTCGCCTTTTTTCAATGCTGTTCCAGGCGTGCCTCCGCAGCCTCAGCCTCTGCGCTATGGACTCACCGTCACAAGAGGTCAACGGGAAGGACGATAAGGAAATCACATACATCGATAGATCCTCTTGACCATTGCTGTACTGCTGGTGTGTGCATGTTCCTGGATGGGCGTTCCTCTGTGCAGCTGCAAGAGCAGATAGAAACAGACAGAGAGATGGCTATGAAGTTGCAAGCGATGGCAGGTGAGCGGCTGGACGCCAGCCGTACGTGTCAGTAACATGAGTGTGTGCCCGCTGCGCTCGGCTGTGTTGTGCAGACAACTCTCGGATGATATCCGCGCTCGGCTGCTTCACGTGTAATGAGGACTAATGCCACATGAGTCAGAGCGTGCATTAACTTTGAACTCTGTCCACCCAGGCTTGTTATGCAAGGAAGAGTGCAGCCTCGACAAATGCCTGACTGAGTTCAAGTGCGGGCATCGCCTGTGCAAGTAGGGGTGGTGCAGGACTGATGGCTGCAAGACGCAGCTCACGGGTGTCCTTGCTCTGTCCTTTGCGAGTTCAGGGATTGCTCCCTTGATTTCGTCGAGAGTGTCATCGACCACGGAACCGGCTCTGGTATGACTCCTGCCCCTCGCCCGCCCCGGCACATGGCCGCACGAGCGCACACAATCCATTCCCTGTCTGTGCTTGCCTTGCATGACCAGCGTCGGATCTTTCATGTCCTGAGGTCAACGACGAGATGAAGAGATGCGGCGAGGTCGGTCGGCAAGCACCGTCACTCAGCGTCAACACTCACACACACTTATGCGCATCGTGTGATTGCTTGCGTGTCTGTCTGTCGCCAGCCGATGACCGAGGAGCAGCTTCAGCTCCTTCTCACCCCAAAGCAGTACGAGAGATTCAACAGGCTTCGGTACGCGCAAACAGGGACGTCTGACATGGGCACACGGCGCATCGTTTGGTCTCTCTGTCTGTCTGTCGTCTTCAGCATCAGGAACCTGTCATTCGGAGAAGACGAAGAGAGAATGTCGGCAAGCGCCCTCACATATCCGTGCATGTGACACGTCATGCGACAGTGGACACGTCAATCACCTGTACATGTATTCATGCTGCAGCGAGTGCCCGATCATGGTCAACAAGGCCTCGTGTGGTGCTCTGTTCATTATCGGCAAGGACCAGAAGAAGGTACGGATACCGACGATGGATGCATTGAAGTTGCACACACACATACAGGCAACATTCCATGTATGCTGATTCATGCAGGTGACGTGTCCCACGTGTGAAAAAACCATCTGCCTTGCCTGCATGGCAGAGGCTCACACCGGCACGTGTGAGGAGTATCAGAAGTGGAAGGCAGAGAACTCACAGGCGGACGAGAAGTTCGTTCAGTTCACACAGAAGGAAAACTGCCAGGTGAGTACGCGGCATCCGCGGCATGTGTTCGTGCAGAGAGCATTGTTTCGGATTGTCTTGTGCAGCGATGCCCGACGTGCAAGGCGTGGGGCAAGCTCGGCCCGGGTGATGGCTGTAACTGTATTAGGTGTCAGGTGAGAATGACACACGACCACACACATGCGCCTTCTCACTGGGTCAATTGATGTGGTCAGACTCGTCAGTGCCGTAGTCAGACGAGCTTTTGCAACCATTGCGGGCAGCTTATCAAGAGCACTGACGTGAGTATGTGACTCAGGCTGAGAACAAATCGTCACACTCGTCATTTGTCCACTTCTGTCGTCAGCACTCTATGTCTGGCAACGCACATTTTGGCATCCATGGCTCGTATGCGACCGGCTGTGTCAACAAGCCCAATCCTGGCTCAGGTGGGCAGGCACCTGCGTGCAGAAAGGCATCCACGCGCATACGACTGTCTTGGTGTCTGTCTATCTTTATATTGCTCTGAATACACCCATCAACGCGCGCGGCAACCTCCTTGCTGAAGTATGAGCTCAACGTCTGCACGTGCTAAGTGACCTACCGTGCTGTGCTGGGCTGTGCTGTTCCCTCACAAGAGAGAGAGAGAGAGAGTAGGTGTTCCTTGGGTGTGGTGCAATGTCATGATTGCATGACACATGCAGATAAAGCCCTTGTCTGTGCACTTTTTTATATACATGCCGTTTTTCCTCTTATCTGGTGTATGTCCGTTGATGCAATTCCTGGCTGTACTTTCCATGTGTACATAACTGCGGAATGTCGGCCATTGCGTGACTGCTCTTCCTCACCAGAGGACAGGCCGAGACATACATGCACGACTCATGCTATGTGTCTTGTGTCTTGCGTCCTGTGTGTTGGGGGTGAAATGAGAGAGATCGATGTATGTCGATGATGGTTGGCACCACTAGATTGTCATTGTCAGTTATGTTTTGCCCGCGTGTTGAGTGATGGGACGTCGTACTGCAGGGCAGGGTAGGGCTGCAGTCAACGTACTATTCGTACCCATCCCGGGCCCAAATACACATTTGATACAGATCCACGACACGAAGAATCACCACACGCACATCCTTGCTCATCACAAGCAAGCAGTCCACCTTCCACACCAACACCACCCAGGCCGGCGCCACAAACTCTGTCTTCTATGTGACAACTTGCACTACCCGTAACCCTCATCTGTGTGTCCGCGACACCCATAAATAAACAGTTCCCTGAGCACGCAGAGTCAAGCAAGCTCGAGGGGAGGAGGGATCGATCCCCGCCCCATCACACACCCCAGCCCAGCAAACCACCCCTCCCTCCCCCACGCAGACAGTAGCTAGTTGCACGCGCGAGGGCGATAGACAAACGACGCGAGCGAGTCGCACACGTGCCGCGCTTGAAGTTGACACAGTCAGTGCAGAGACGCTTCTTGTCTCGGCATTCACTCTGTCTTCTCCATTCAGTGAACTCAACGATGCGCCCGTTCGCTCGTCCGCTGAGCCCTACTTGCGTGCGACTGCAGACACCGACAGATGCAACCAAAGGTGCGCGCATGATCCTCGGGTGAATGGAAAATGAAAGGTTGCTCACCGTGTGACTGTTGTGCAGCGAGAGCCGACACATCGGGCACGTCGAATGCGTCTTCAACCAACCATCCAAACACTCGGCTGAATCAAAGAGGGAAATGAACACATGAGAAGAGAACACGCAGCAGATTCCATGTGCAAGGAAGACACTCATTTTTCCCCCTCGCGCGTACCGTGGAAGGCATGCCCACATCCGTTGATCTGTCTCAGCACCTGCAGCGAACGAAGCTCGTCTTGACAGATACTACACACATCCTGCTCGGGCTCAGGAGGCGGACTCGGCCTGGAAGCGGGAGTTGTCGCCACTGCGACTGGGGCTGTGTATGCTGTTTCTACAGGGATGCCACAAACTGAACAACACCGACAACAAAACCATCACAACACGTGACTGCTGATCGACCACACGGAGATTCATGCCTACCAGGCAGGGGCAAGTGTCGGAAGTTCGGGTGGTAGGGGGCGACATTCAAAGGTACTCCGTTCGCGATGGTTTGTTCAAACTGAATCCTCCCAGCCGTCCCAACTATCGCCCCCTCGCCAATACCCTGCTGTCCACCGGCAGTCGCTGAGCCGCTCGCCGCCGCCGCCGCTGCTTGTCCGTCACCATCCGCTGCGGCCGCCGCTGGTGCCTTTGGTGGCAAGAAACGGCGTGAAGTCCTCTGGCGGACGAGAAGAAAGGAGCCTCTCTACTCGCGACATGCCATGAACCCTCAAAGTCGTGTTCCGACACACATCCCTGAGAAGAAAAGGGAGCCAAGAACGCAAACAAGCACAGCCAACCAGCATGAGGGCATGAGGAGAGAGGCACTCGTTCATTCATCCTACCCGTGCGTCAGCGTGCGATGACAGCCGTTGTATGGCCCGGCGCTGGGCATCGGACCCGCCCTCTCCTGCCGTGCAGATCCATAATCAGCAGGCGCAGGCGATGGGGCCAGCATAGCCATAGCAAAGCCAAAGTCGTCGTCGTCAACATCAATAGCCGGCGGGTTCGCTTGTAGCCACCCACGAAAACTAGCAAAGTTGGTGTTGTTGGGGAGAGGGCGCTGACTGAGCACCCATTCACAGTACTCGGGGTCACGGTCTACAAAACATGACAACACGTACGACAACAGGATGACAGGAAAGGACGAAAGGAGAAGGGGCTTTCTTGTGCTTCACCCTTACCTCGTGCATCTTCAAAGGTGTGCCCGCGCCACCTACCGAAATTAAGCACCTCCGTCATCTTTCCTGCGTTGCCCCAAGTTTCAGGCCTTCAAGTTGCGTGAAACGCACTCAGCCAGAGGGCGCATCGATGCGCTGAGATGGGCGAGCTCTACAGCCAGGAGCTCATCAACGACTCCATCCTCGAAGCGCCACCCGATGAGGAGGAGCCCGTCCTGCACGGCAGATACCGCATCATGCGGCAGATAGACAGAGCATGTAAGCGCCACCACGCCACATGAGAGATGCACGACCCATTGATGGATGGATGGATGGATGGATCGATCCATTCTTCCTTCTCTGACCTGACCAGCGTCGGTCTTTGCTGCATACGATGAGCGCAACGATGGGTGTGGGGAATCGTTCGTGGCCATCAAGTGCGCGCAGGGCGGGAGCGAGGGGGGCTGCGGCGCTGACGATGCACTGGCACACGAGGCCGAGTGCATGGTCGCGCTCGAAGGTGGGTGAGCAGACAGGGGAGGCAGGGGATGCAACAGGAGGAGTGCTGTGGGTGTAACTGCGGGTGTCGTGTTGCCATGCCAGGTTGTGTTGGTATCTTGAAGGTCCATGGGTTCTACCAACGCAGCGAACAAGGGTATATATATAACCCGACCCCGGCACTCAGTGATGGATGCTCGGACGGCCCGTGTTTTTATTTTATCTTTGTCGCGATGCGTGTCGTGTCGTGTCAGAGGCTGCGCATCTGTGGTGATGGAGCTGGGCGGCCCCTCGCTGTCCCTCGTGTGCGCCGCGCGGGAGAGGCTCTCCATCCCAACCACAATGAGGCTGGGGGTGAGGAAGAAGAAACAACGAACGCACTGACTGACTGCACAGAAGGGATGATGTGAGCTGATGGTTCGACTGAATATTCTCCGTTGTGTGCTTCTTCCTTTCCTTCAATGTGATCAATCAATCAGTGCATGGTCCTGGACACACTCAAGAGCGTTCATGACCGAGGGCTGATACACAGGTATACCTACGACGAGAGCCGAATGAATGACCCGTTTGTGTGTGAACGTCTGTGCATTCATTGGTCTGTGTGTGTGGATTGCCAAGGGACGTCAAGCCTGGGCATCTCGTCATGGGCAGAGGTAGGGATGGATGGGCAAACAAATGCTGGCTGCAATGCACTTGCACGACACGGACGATGTGATATCTGTGTGTGATGGGTCAGGTGCGTCCCGTGACTCTGTCCATCTGATAGACTTCCGCTCGGCCAAAGACTACACAGACACAGACAGGTACTATGTCGCACTCGTGTGTTCATGCGGAGGCGATGGCAAGGCATGCATTCGATGAGTATGCAGGTGTGTTAGTCGTCGTCGCGAGAAGCGGCCCCCGCCCTTCCACGGCGCCCCCAAGTACTGCTCGATCGCCGCACACCAACTGGAGGCACTCACACGCATAGACGATCTCTGGTAGGATGAAGACAATCAGTCAGGAGGGACAGGATGTGCTTTGGTCGATGTCTGCCCGCCTTCCTCCACAGGTCGCTGCTGTTTCTGCTGGCGGAGCTCATGCTGGGCACTCTGCCGTGGCAACGATACCACGTACGTATGCACGGACGTCAGTCAGCGACCTGGGTGTCATGTGGGCAATTGAATTCGCTTGTGTGTCTCCACCCGTTCCTGTTTTGCAGGACGATGACAAGTTTTGCATCATGGCGGACAAGAAGCTCTTCCTCGTCAACGCCATCAGACGCCTCCAACGCCCAGCGAGGCGCGAGGACAGCACCGACACCCACCACCACGGCCATGCCCACGTCCCGCCCCCACTGTTTGCCAGCACGGCCCACCACCACACCACAGCCAGAGACCTCAGACCCCTCTCCCTCCCCGCTAGCGACATACCCAATGCCCTACCGATCGAATTGGTCAGCGTGCCATCGATCAGTGAACCAGAGACAAGTCAGTCCATCTGTAGGTGTGTGTGTGTGCAATGCAGCTGGAGTGGGTGCCGTTGTTGGAGGCGGACGATGCAGAGGGCGGCAGTAGCAGTAGCAGCGCGTCAAGTGTCGATGCGGCAGCGGCGAGGCGCCCGCCGTATGCCAAGCTGAGGGCACTGCTGGAGCGGGCCCTGGCCAGATATGGTGACTTCACTTCACGCGTCTCGGTAGCGGACGAGCTGTGCGGCGATGTGGGGCAACGAACGACCAAAGACCTGGTGCCAATACACAGCAAGGTAGGTGAGGTGACCCACGGACGCAATCCACCAATCACCAATCTATTCATCCATCTCTCGCCAACACACCTGTCTCATGCAGGAGGGCGTGTGCTCTGGTGACGTGTTGATAGTCGAGTCGCCGCTGCGCCGCCCCAGGAGCATCCGGTCGTTCCTGGCGGCACTGACGCGCCTCAGTGAGGACGAGCAGACGGTGGTGCTGGAGGGGTGGCGTCGGTACTTTGACGAGCTGAGCGTGCTGCGGGGCGAGGAGCCTCCGTATGCAGACGTAGAGGATGACATTGTCAAGGTACGAGTGGGGGAGGGGAGGGGAGGGTGTGTGTGTGGTGAATAGACGTGTGTGTGTGGGGGAGAGGATGAATCGGATTGCCCCCGACTTAGACCCCTGCCATCATCTCTCTCAGAGAGAGTGGGAGGGCCGCAGATGCTGATACTCATATCCTGTAGTCATCCTTGCCCTGATTCCCCGGCGCACACACACACACAGAGATACATGGATGGCTCCATGGATGTCTGCTCTCTGCCGCACGTGGGCTCTTGAGTGTCTTGTGTTGTGTTGTGTTGTGTTGTGTGTTGTGTGTCAGGTGGCGTACTGTTTGTACGATGTGGGTGTGCCGATGGACGTGTCGCCCCATCTGATAGACCCCAACACAGGCCGCCACATGTGCCTCACGGCACTCGTAGCACGTAAGCGACGCGACGGCACACTGATTGATTGGCGTCACAACACATTCTCTCTCCGCATCCACCATCCATGTCGGATCTCTTGTCCGCAGCTGAGCTCTGCACGCCGGAGTGCCAGGCTTTGCTCGTGCATCCCAGGGTCTGTCTGTCTATCACCAGTTCACGACAAACGACGGACAAACAAAGACCTCACTGTCCAAGTCGTTATGTCTCTCTCTCTGTGTGTCCGCTGGTGTGGTTGTCGGACTTACAGGTTCCCCTGGACCCTGCGCATCGTGCGAAGCTCTGCCCCACTTATCTCGCAATAGGTAGGCAGCGGATGGACGGATGATGTCCTTGTTTCCTTCCATCCATCCATGTGTGCAGGCGAGTGTAGCGATCCGGACTGCCAGGCCCTCCACTGGTCCCCCGCCGTGCCGACACCATCAACCGCACCCACACCCACACCCACACCCACACCAATGCCAATCCCACCACACGACCAACCACCACCACCACCACCACAGCAGCGGCAGCAGCAGCAGCAACAAGGGGAGCGGCTGGAGGAAGACGAGGAGGAGGAAGATGACAGCAGGGGCGGTTCCCCGACGCCATCCGTGTCGTCTGTGCCCTCCCTGCCCTCCGTCCCGGGCGTCCCTCCCCGCTCACCGCTGCTCTTCAACGACGGCCCCGTCTCGCCCAGCAAGAAGCGACCGGCAGCCAGTGGAGGAGGCATGGGCAGAGGCACACCTGAGAACAAGCGGCCACGGCTCCCAAGTAAATAGCAAGAATCACTTGACATAGCAAGAGTCTGATTGATGGTATGGTGTGTTCTCTTGGCTGTTTTGATTGTTTCATTGGTGTGCATGCCATGGCATGCCATGGCGTCACGTCAGGCGGGGCGGCCAAGATACCCGGCCTGTCGATCTTGTTCTCGTCGCGGGGGGCGGTGTACATGTAGATGGGAGGGTTGGTTTGGGGAGGGAGGGAGGGAGGGAGATGGCTGCATGACATGAGTGCATGCATGGGATGGATGGGAGGGTATGGATGTGTAGGTAGAGAGATGCTGCCGTGCCTGCTGGGGTGATGGATGTGTTTTGTAGTGTGTAAGGTGTCTATAGACAGACAGACAGAAGGGTGGGTGGCTGTGTATACTCTGGCTGGTGTCTGTCTGTCTGTGCTGTGCATATATGGGGGTCGCTTGTGCAGACCGATCAGGTACATCACACTCGCCACGTTGATGGATGGATGGATGAGTGATGCACCCACCCACCCCACAACAAAGTGCATCCCCCGGTCCTTGACTCAGTCCAACCACCACGGTCAAAGCAGCGCACAACGAAAGCACTCGATCGCAGCGAATGAAAAAAGATGCACGCACATCGACCGACACCCACACCGATCCCCCTACAGGTCGTCTGTTCTGTCTGTCTACCATCCGTACTTCATCTGTGTCTGGTACTTGGACTGCCGCGTGTGTGCAGTGGCCTCGAACAACTCCAGCTCCCTCTCCTGAGCCTCGTGGGCAAGGTATCCAATCTGTGTGACGACAATCACAACCACACAGCCAGAGAATGCGAAGCGGCCCTGATGGATGGATGGATGGATGGTGTGGCCGGCCATTGTTGTGATGTCTATGGTAGGTGCCTACCTGGTGTTTTCGTTTCTGGTGTTTGGTGGGGTCGTGGCTCATGAGTGTGCTGCCCGAGTTGGGGTCGTAGTACTTGGCGTTCCAGGGCGCCTTCTCCCTGCCCATGCCCAACACGCCCTTGGCGCCCTCCGCCACCGAATTCTTCAGACGCCTGGCACACCATAGACAGACACAGGTATGGTGTGTATGGTGTTTGTGACAAACAAATGTGCCCTGGGAAGGGTGTGGTGTGACCTGACTTGTCTTGTCTTACCAGTCTTTGTCTCTGAGGTCATCGGCGTTGATGGTCTGCACGTTCTCAAACTTGCGCATATCCACCGGCAACTCGCCATACTGACATACACACACGACACGCGACACGCGACACACACAGACAACATCACATCCACCCATCGCCCCGCTGCACCGCTTCTGCCTGCATGCTCTCTCGCCGCTGGCTGACTTACTCGTGGCGCCTTCTTCTCGTCTGGCTGGTCTGCCCATGGGTCGCTGGCAGCCACGCCCATGGCCATGCCCATGCCCATCATGGCAGCGGGGTCCCCCCAGGCCATGGGTGGTGCCAGCGGCGGCATGCCCATATGGCCCGCGGCGACGGGCAGAGACGGGCCCTCCAGTGGCCCTCCTGCTGCTGCTGCTGCTGAAGCAGAAGAGGATGACGCGACGGCGGTTGGGATCAACGGGTGAGATGGGAGGGAGGGGCCAGGGGGCAGGGTAGGCTGTGGCTGTGGCTGTTGTGGTTCGTCGTCTTGTTCGTCATCGTCGCCATAGTCAGGGTCGACCAGCGTGAAGAAACCGCTGTCCAACACTGATCAGACAGACAGACAGACAGTCAGAAAGGTCAGGCAGATGATGCTATGGGCTATGGTTGTGGTGTGCTTGTGTTCCTGCAGCGGGCGTGGCGTACCTGTCCCCTTATCCTTGGAGACGCTCTTCTTCTCCTCCTCTCCACCATCATCGCCACGATCCGCGTCAGCATCAGCGGCAGGCAGGCCACCACCATTACCGAAGATCACATCCTCATGCCCATCTTCCTCTTCCTCATCCTCATCCACCTGGCCACCCCGCCGCCTTTCACCCTCCACACCCTCCGCACCCCCCGCCGCCGCCTGCTCCTCTCGCCCATTCTTGCCCGCCTTGTCAGCGGCTGTAAGCTTGACCCTGAGGACCTCCTCCTCATGGCTGACCCTCTTCGGCTTCGGCAACGCGCTCAGCAACCCAACAGCCTTCCTCTTCCTGCGATTGGCCGCCGCCTCCAGCGCCTTCTGCTTCAAGGGAGCCTCACCGGCATCCTCCTGGTCGTGGTGGTCGTGCTTCCCTGACGTCGCTGACTCGCTGGGCGATGCGAACGGCGCGGGAAGGTTCTTGAAGCTCGTGAGAGCCGAGTAGTCGATCACCTTCTTGGCCTTTGGCCTCACTGCGGCTGGCGGGGAGGGCTTGACGTCGGTAAGCTTGATGTCCTTGGCTGTGGTTGCCGCTTCCTTCTCCTCGTCCGAGCCGTAGTCAGCTAACAGGTCCATTCTGCCTGGGAAATTCAGTGGCCACTGAACTGATATGAAACGGGAATGGCCCGCTGAGGGAGAGAGCGGTTTCAACACGACCCGGCGTCCAGTTTTACGCAATGTCCTAGGCGCCGCGAGGAGGTTGCGAGCTAAACTTGCGAAGGGACGCTGCATATCCCCTGCTGCAAAGGGCGCCAGTTGATTGTGTGCGAAAAGGCCGGTGAGGACCTTTCCTGTAGTTAGCTGAATAGAGGATCTGCTGGGCGGTAAGTCCCAGAGTAAGAGTGCTTTTACTTTAATAAGACCGATGGACTGGCCAGTCAGTCAAAGTTGTTTCTGTCCATGTATGGCATCATGAAGGGTGGTCAACACAGATCTCACTTCGGTGATGGCTGATAAGATCGTGTCTCCTCAGAATGCTTTCCTTGTCTTTCC